TGTGTTGAGCTGTACCTTCCACACCGGAAAGCCCTATTCTGCACGCACGCCCGAGGAAAGAAAAACCCCCACGCCGGGCGAATACTGCTTCGAATACGGAGTGTTCGGGGTGCAAGAGATCCATCTTCATAAGAAGAGTAGTCGATGTCCTAGTTTCCCGGACCCTCCTTTAGATAATCCGGGCAAGAATGACCAGTATTACATGCTCACTTCGGATAGACGTCTACCGGTGTCGCGTATTGTCAATGTGCGCGATATGCCGCAGGAGAATTGGTATTCTGTGAAGATGCCCGTGCCGGCGAGATACGTGGAGAATCTTGTGCTGTTCTGCGCGTGGAATCTGGCTGTGGTGGATATTCCGGACCCTTATTATGATATGCTGGTTTATCTGGCGAGGGGGATGGGGTTGGATAGTACGAATTACTCGTATGTCGAGCCGAAGGAGTTGCAGCCTCCGTTTGATAGGTTCATGAAGATACTGGATCTTGATGCTAGTAGACATGGCGAGGAGGGTCTTAAGAGGGATCTGTGTCATCGCAGGTCTTATCGGTTCCTGTGTGAGATTCTTATGGAATTGAGGAAGATGAGGCAGGTTCAGCGGGACATGGATGAGTCGCTACGCTACTGGCCGCCGATGGAACGGGGGCTGGAAGCTAAATGTGAGGCTATGGAATTGGAATATGAAGAGCTGCAGGACCCGGACGAGACGCCTATGCTTCATCATGATTTGGTTGCGGCGTTGGCTAGTAAGAAGTGGAGGTATTCGCCGGTTGAGTGTGCTAGTACGTAGGATATACTTAGGTGGTTGGAATGTCAATCTGAACAAGCAGAACTGCAATGGCTAGCAATGAAATAAAACTCCTTCCCATCTAGACGAATACATAATCCCTAGAACATAGACAATATACCCTAAGATCCTAACCCACTTCTCTCTCCCCCACCAAATCCCACATCGCAACCATACCCACCTCATAATTCCCTTGTCCACCACTCCTAAACCACCCCTCCCCCATCTTCCTCTCCACAAACCCCATCGCCGCATCCCTCACAACCCTCCACTCCAACACACTCCCCTTCCCCAGAACCTCCTCCCCACCATCCCTAATTCTCTCTATGGCCCCCCTCACCCAAGAAACACAATTCCACCCTTCCTCTCCCTCCTCCTGTCCCCCCACAGGAACCCCCCTCAATATCCCAACCAACCCCTCCCAATCAACCACCTTCCCAATAAGAACCCGTACAAGAACCATCGTATCGAGTGTGGTACTGCGCTCTTCGTAGGTCCATTTGAAGATCATGTCGGTGCCAGTGCCAGTGGTGCTGGGGATGGGGGTGGGGAGGTCGCGGACGTGGTAGGTTGTGCCAATGCCGATGTCTTTGTTTTTGTTTCTGGATTTGGATTTGAATTTGGGTTTTGGGAGGATGTTTAGGGACCAGTGATACCTATTTAATTAATTAATTATTTGTTTTATGTATGTGTTTGGGGTAGTTAGGGGGTTGGGGAGGGAGTGTGTTGTATTGGGTAGGGGGAGGGAGGGCAGGGCTACTCACGTATCTTCTTTGTCGGGCATCTTGGGACGGATTCCCCCTCCGCGGGCGTGGAGGGAGATGTAGAGGCGGGGTTTGTTTGATGATTTCATCGGTTTGGAGTGTATGAGAGGGGAGGTAGTGGAGGGTGGATTGTTGGTTGAGAGGTGGGTGGGTGAATGGGTTGTAGGTTTACAGTAAGGTACTTATTAGGTTTTGTGAAAGGTTCGATATCACATGGGTACACCCTTGTCATCTTAGGTTGGGGAGTAGCCGCCAGCCTTGTTTGGGTTTGCTACTAGATCTTGGTTTAATATGCTTACCATGGAGTTGGTATTCTGTGTATGAATTGATGGTTGGTTGAGACATTCCTACTTTACTGCAGCCTGTGTGGCTATCACCATAGGGTATTTTCATTAAGAATGAATGCGATGTTACTGAATTCACCACCCGTACCTATCGATGTAAATGTTGACTGAAAGAAGTGAAGTCCGAGCACAAAAAGGACAAATCTATGTACAAGAAGAAATGCAAGCTGGGTATCAAAAACATGTACAGGAAGAAAATCATAACTAAAACATCGAACTCCTTTTCTTGCTCAGCTTCGCCTCATCAGCTGATGAACGTCGTAATCGAAAGAAACTACTTTTCTTAGGCTGCAATGCCGGTGATGATGCCGCCGGTCCCGGTGTATCCGCTGGCAAGGCAAATCTCACGGCTGATTGGCGCCGCGGATCCAAGCCCGGGGCAGTCATGTACGGACCTGCCTGTGGCCGTTGACGACCGTCTTGATAAGGATAAGAGTAATGGGGCTGGTTGGCTGGTCGTAAGGGGAGGGTTTGTCCGGGCTGCTGGGGACGAGGAGGCAGCGATGGTGTCTGTCTGTGTCTGCGTACTTGGTCTTCTTCCTGTCCGTAGAGCATCTGGAGACGGCGAGTTTCCCGATCGATTTCGGCTTGTCGCTCTGCCTTGCGTCTGCGACGCGCCTTTTCCTCTTCTTCGAGCAGTTGCTGGGTGCGTCGTTCTTCTTCGCGTTGGCGGTTAGATTTAGTGGGCGGCTGTTGTGGTGGTTGTGTTTGTGGTTGGGGTTGCGGTTGGGGCTCGGGCCTTGGTTGGACGGCATTTAATGCCCCTGATGCTGCGGGGACGGACGGGAGGGGCTTGGAGTTTGTCTTGGTCGGGGAGGGTGTACTCGACATGTGGGCGGGTTTGGTGACGTGGAATGCGTCTTTCATCGAAGTAAAGTATACGTCGCGGATGGTAATTGCGCCGAGGAGGAGAACGACTTCGAGGCCTTTGAAGTCTTCCATTTCCACGCGGTAAAGGTTTGGTTCATAGAGGGTGAGTTCGCGAAGCCCCTTGAAGATGGATACGGTGATATCGGGCTCTTTGCTTTTGGTCTTGGATTCCGGAATTGTGGTCGTCTTGCCGGACAGGAGACAAGTCAGGTCTTTGGACAGCTTACTATCCTTGCGCCAGGTGAAGCGCAGTTTCGGAGTGGTATCAGCAGAAGCCGGGTCAGGGTGGGTGCGGTCGAGGGTAGATGCGGAGGGCTGTCGGAAGCTGTGTTGGGGCATCTCGAAGGTCCATGTCGCAGGGCTGTTCCAGGTTTTGGGCTTGAAGTGCACCGTCACTTGCTGGTCGGGGTTGTAGAGGTTGATGGTGAAGCGGGACGGAAGAATAGGTTCTGGCGGAGGCGGAACGCCGCCATTCTGACGGATGGCCTCCGCAGAGAGACTAGGTTGAGTCCATTCCGGGATGATCAGGACTTCGCCGAAGAGGATGTCGGAGACGTAGGGGTCGTAGAGAGCGGAGGCATAGCGGTTCTGTGAGGAGGGGGAGGAAGGATCCGGGTAGCGGAGGGAGTAGACAGGTTCCGGATCGTTTCCGTGCTGGCAGAGATAGATGCTCCAAAGCTTGGATTGCTTGTTGTGCTTGAGATAGAAGGCTGCTCGAGTTAGCAAGCGACGTCAAGTAGGAGGAGTGGAGTCAAGGAGGGATGATGCTAAGAAAGGGAGACATACTGGGAAGGTTCTCGTCTAGCATTTTTAGATCTGGGCCGGGATGGATTAATTCAACGGAATCTCTGCGCGACCCGTGGTCCAAATGCCATTGGGTTCGTCTTATAAGAAATGCGAGGCGAGATGCACGAAAGAAAGGGCGATCCAAAGAAGAAAGAAAGACGTCGAGGATGAGGCCTAGTGTGGCCTCAGGCAGCGGAACAAGTACGGGGCACTGCCCCACCGCTATAAATAACACCCTCTCCCAGGTACCGCCCGGTATTGCCATGTGCCTTGGCAGGCAATTTAGCTGGGGAGATCCATGGCGGTACGGAAAAGTACCTGCGATCAGCGTACCCAGCAGTAATGGAGTGTACTGTAGGCAGCCATCATCGGATGGTTTGCAGTTTCATATGGTATGCAGACCCCATTCAAGGGTCCCAATCATGAAGGATCTCCGGTGGTGACGAAGCTGCCGATCTCCGGACTATCTCTTAGTCGGTCAAGTCGCACTGCCTCTTTTCGAGCTTCTCTCGCAAAAGAAAAGAGTAAGCCTTGCAGGCAGATATTTTTCGTGCCTTGATATGCAGCGTATCTATCCAACTTCAATCATCTGGATTGCTATATGGGCCCGGGAGCAAGCAAGCAAGGCACAGCAATCCACTTTAGACAACCATACTCGACCATCAATGGGACTCGTCTTTGCTTCGCCTGTATAACACAGACTACTAGACCCCAGCACCGCGATGAGGTGCGAGTCCATGCTGGGGGCCTGGAGTCCGTTAGCCAAGCGGATAACGCTGACGTACCTCTGTATGGTGACGCGTGGGCAGTCATCGAATGCTCTTGGCTATTAGTATGGTGCTTCGGAATCTGGGGGTTTGGATGCATATACCAATTGTTTGTTGTTAGGTTTTCTGGTGTGACGTGGAGCCGTATGTGGTGGACACGCATGTTTCCAACATGAGCTTGCAACAAGGTTACTCGGTGCATGACTGAGAGACCTACTAGGAACAAAGTGCTGGTTAATCGACGATGCGCGTCGATGTTGTCTGGAGATGGATCAGTGATCACTACTCTTGGGTTCGGAGAATTCAAAGGAGGGGTATTAATAGATATGGCAGCCAGTATGGTCAGTAAGCAATGTCGGTGGATTACCCGGCATGTCTTTATGAGACACAAGCTCTGTATATGCATTAGAAGAATCGAATTGTCTTTGAAATGCCATCCATTCATTCGAATGAATGCTATGCGATCACCATTCTTATAGATCTACCTGCAGTCGATCACCTATCCACCTCATTGTGCAGCTTCTAACAAGGAGCATTGTTTCGTGATTCAGGGTGAAAAGAGCAAAACAAAGAGCAATGTGGTCAACTCATAATCCAATGCTTCAGATCTTTGATCTAAACCTGTTTATCGGCATCTCCACATCACGCTCTATACTCTACAAAGAACTGACAACAAGGGAATCTATACTCGAACACCATCCACCTCTGTACCTTCCGGCACCTTGGCCGCCTCCCGCTCTGCAATACTCAGCTGCAAGCCTTGGTCATCCCATCCCTGAGTACCTTTCCTGTACAGCATCTTCTGCTGCTCGCGGTCTGGCATGGGCCCAGACTTCCCGCGTCGCTCACGCGATTCAATCGTCTCCACCAGAGATGCATTGTCTCCGTCCAGCTCATATCCCTCGAGGTCATCTGTGTGAACTTCCTTTGTAAATTCGTACGTCCGGTACTCGGTGTTGACCCATCCGGTTCCTATTTCATCATTAGCCTTTGTCTACACTTGACACATGCAGTCTTTCAAAGACATACCCTGGTACTGGCTGCTATCCTCCCAATCCTCGGTGAAGTAATGCAGGAAACCTCCGTGGGTGACAATCACAATCTCCTTCTCCGGTCTCGCCTTCAGCCAGCGGCGGGCTGCCCGCGCCCGCTCCTTGATGGCCTTGTGAGTAGGTGCATATTTGCCTTGCTACATGGTTGTACCAGGCCACTGGTCAGCTGAACCGAACCTATCGCCACTTGGAGTAGAATAACAACCCACCTTGTTGTTCCAACCATCATGCACCAACCCCAAATCAATCGGGACTTTCTTCTCCTCCATCTCCTTGCGTAGTACCTCCGGGTCGCTACCCGTGTCGCAAGCCACATCACTCGTCTCCTGGGCATCAGGAAGAGCGATCATCTTCATATCTGGGTGTGACTGGAACACGGGCTCGAAACTCTGCAGGGCCGTGTAGATAGTGCGACGGAGCGGGGAGGCTGTGACAAGGTCGACCTGAGTGTGGCGAGGAAAGCTATCGCGGAGTTTACGACATTGTTCGTTGCCGAGATCGGTGAGAAGGGGGTCGGGGATGACGTGGTTGGCGACACAGAGGTTGTGCTCGCCCTGAGAGAAATTGTTAGCGACCGCGTCGGTCGGGGAGAGAGTCGGTGGATATATAGGCGTACCTGGGCGTGACGGACGCAGTGGATAATGGGAGGCATTGTGTTGGTTGCGGCGACTGTAGACGAGGGAGGCGAGTTAGCAGGAAGAAGAGCGAAAGGGCCGGAGGAGTCGAGGGAAGGGAAGAATGGAGCACAAACGTGGGGTAGCGGGGCTCGGTGATGGACAGGGTGCAAGCTGCAGTCCTTTAGCGTCTGTCGAACGGGACTCCGTGCACGATATTCTTTCTGGAGGGATTCTGTTAAGGCTGTTGAGGAGAGACGGTCGGTTTATATGGGTCCCGCGAAGAAGGGCCGTCCCAAGTCGTCTGCCAATCCAAGCGGACCACTGCACACCGTGTCGCCCAACCGGTCAAATCCCTCCATCGCCATGACTCAAATCGGGGGCGAAGGCCATCCGGAGCAGTGATTCCTTGCCCAGACCCGAGGGGTCCGGTCAGCGGGCTGGTCACATGGAGAGCAAAGATTTCAGAGAGAAAACAGGAAAGAGACAATTTGATCTCCGATGGTATTCCAGAGATAACAAGGAGGGAAGAGCGAACGGAAGTCGAACTTGGCTGTGGCTGTTGTTCCTCAATACGGGCTGCCCGGCAGACTTGCCCGACCGCCCACTAACTATATCCACCAGGCAACTCGGGCGAATATTCTCACCATCTACAATCTATCTAATGAATTTGGGAGAAGAACGAGCGCTCCGGAAATAAATTCGTCCATTTGCCAGATGTGGCACCGGCCACAATCGGACTAATACTATCTATGTAGAATTGGGTATGTCAAGCACGGCATATACAGCAAAGGGTATGTCCATTCCAAAAACCGAGACCATCCAAACCAGTCCCCGAAATCAAGCAACGCCAAAGCCACGTGCGTTCTCCAACGCCTTGCTCAACTTTTCCTCTAGGACACTACGGGAGGAGTATTCCGGCAACAGGAGGCGTCCGAAGCAGGTCAGACTCGTGGGAAGGCGCTGCAACAATCAGTACTTTGCTCTGCAACATGGAAGGCGACATCACTTACAGCATCTCCTACTCCGTTCTTCTGAATCACAAACATGATGCTCGCAATCCCATTAACCGGTACCCGATCGCTGGCAGTGACAAACTCCAACAGCTGCGCCTTCTTCTCGGCTGGGTACCGCCGTACAACACTCCAGAAGTCCCTGATCACCCGGTGGCTGGGGTCAAACCCGCCCTCATACCGTGCGTGGCGCTCCAACTCTCGGATGTCAATTGTCTGGATTCCTTCTACCACAGTCTTCAGTGCCTCCGGTGTGAAAATGGAGAGGGCTGTCCGGTCGAGGCAGGTGTAGAACCCCTGAGCAAACGCCTCGAACTGAGGCCGGACGGACTTATCCGTTAGCCAGAAGATGTAGTCCTTGACGAACTGGGCACGGTTGCTGTTGGTCACCAAGCTGGCCTCGTCGGCGGGGGGTGTTGGCGACTGGGCTGGGACAAGCGTGTCAACCGGTTTCGTGGCTTCCCCGTATGAGCCCGCTGTCTCTGCAGCCATCGAAGACGGGGGGCTGAGGTCGGCGTGATCAGCAAAATGGCGGACCTCCGACCATGGAGGCGAGTACCCAAGGGACCGCGACCCGCTCCTGGCACGGGATGGCGTGGACGACACAGGCCAAGGAGCATCTTTGTCCACCTTTTGCATGTCGACTGTTTCTACAGCCCCAAAGGCCTCGAAACTAAATTCGTAAGTCCGCATAAATATGTCGCCCACATCTCCATCCTCCCATGTAAGCAGATCTCCCAATCCCTTGCTGAGTTCTGGCCATCCGTCCTGGATGTGCTCTAGGTGCTTCACCTTGAGTCCGAGTAGCTTGCGGTAAAAGGCAGTCGGGAAGTTGACCGGGAGCGTGAGACCATTATACACAGCCAGAGACATAAGGAGTCCAAGCAGTTCGAACTTGTATGAAGGCTCCCACGAACAAGGCTGGAACCATGAGATCCGCGTCCGCGCGTCCGTCGTGAACATGCCAAAAGACGGATCCAGTGCCTCTGCCATCAGAACTCGGAAGAATTCCTGCTGAACACCACCGTGGTCAAGACCCTCCTCACCTTCATCCATACCCATTTGTACCTTCAGTGGCCGCATAAGCTCCCGTCTTTCGCGGCGCCAGAGCTGATTGAGAGCATCCATAAGAATATTGTCGCGCCGGACCATCAGAACCAGATATGTAGACATCGACGTCTTTAGCTGTGCGAGTAACCCGACATCATCCTGAACCTGGATGGGTCCAAAGGCCGTTTGTGTCACGTGTCTCGTTGTAGTCATAGCGGCTTCGTAGTACTTGGACATGGCCGCGTAGTTGAGAGCTCGGAAATAGATCACCAACGCTGAAGGAGGGAAAAGGAAAGGATAGGACAGTAGATGCATTGTCTTGTTGTTCGGAAGGCGACCCATCCACTCCACAGGCATGTCCAAAGGTTCCAACCTGTCGGAGAGAAACGGGGTGTGGAAGTCTTCGGGTACCAGGCCCAAACGACTGCGCTCCTTGTACAACAATGACAGAATCTGAACGGCACCTCCAGCCGAACTGCTTTTCGACAGTTGCGGGTTACCATCCCATTCCTTGAGGAGAAGGGTGCGAAGCCATTCAGCAATGAAGGCAGGTGCGCCAGGAGGGGGAGTATGATCCAAGTCGCCAATGGCCGCTGTCATAGCCCCGTAATGCTCGCTAAGGTTGTTCACAATCAGATCCAGAACGCTGTTCTTACGCTGTTTTGGCAAATCGCGGGAGTACACCTGTCGCGCTTTTGATATTTCGTGGAACGCCAATCGTGCGGTGAGAGCGCGTACTAAGCGATCAAGTAGCCGGAGGGCCAGCTCATGCTCAAGCATATCAGTTGTTTCTACCACAAGACGGGCCCTGGGTATCGACAGCTTTTGCATGTCCGAACTCGAAGATACGCCCCCGGCCGCACGCATTTGGAGGATCGCTCGCCATGTTGGTGCATCTATCTCGGGAAGAGAGCTAGCCAGGGCAAAAATGGCGAGTGTAGCAACATCAGCAGCATTGGCATCAGTAAAGTACTCATTGCCCTCCGAATCGGCTCGGCGAATTATCGGTGCGCTGGATGCGGCGTTCGTCAAGTTGCTAGACGAACGGCGGGGAAGTTTACCTGACATCGACAGCTCTTTTGGTGGGATGAATAGTGTCTCCGTAGCACTCCAGAGACTGTGAAAGACAATATCCCGAGGGCAGATGCGGAGTAGATTACGGAGCGATGGTTGTAATTGTTGAAGGTCAAGCTTGGGCTTAGAGTGGTTCTCATTCATTCCAGTCGGACCGGCCGATTTCTGGCGGAATGAGAGAAGGAGTTGCTTGGTATTCCCCAGTGCATAGAAAACGCTCTGTGAAACGAAGGAAAACACTTCACGCTGACGGGGAGTCGCAAAGCGCCACTCTGACTCCTCGAAGCTCCCGGTGGATTCCATGTAGGTCAGCTCGTCCTTCCACAGCTCTGCCTCGTCCTCAGAGAGTATCATCATTTGCGTCATGCCGTCAATTATCTCGTCCGTCAAATGTGATAGGGATTGGATGCTGGAAATGGCTTTGTTCTGACTCGAACTCCGGCGCTTCGGTTTCCGGGCACTAGGAGACTCTGTCTCCGGAGGAGGTTGTTCGTCGCTCTGAGACTCGGGCTTCTCGGATTCGTCGAGCAGGACATTGTTGAGATACTTCGCGCCATCCCATGAAACACGTCGCTCTTTCTTCGGCTGCTCCTGCGGAAGGGGATAGTTTCCGTCTGCTGTTCTCCCTCGATGCTTCTGCGGACGATGCCGTAGGGCGGGTGGCGAAGGTACATTGTGTGTTTCATCACCATTGACGTGTGTGTTCACGGTGAGCTTGCGGGCGGGTTTCAGCTCCTGATATGATTTCTCCTCCAAACTTGTGCGTGGGTTCTGGCGCCACTGGTCCACGTCCGTGAGCGACAGTCGCTTAACCTGCTGGTTAGGAAGTTTCAACTCCAGCGCAGCCAGCTGGCCATTCCCATGGCGCGATGAGGGGGTTTGGGGAGCCGCAGTTGCAGACAGAGTATGTTGGGGTGTTCGTTGTCGGGTTAGATTTGGCCTAGGTTTATCCGAATATGGCTGTGTTCCATCGGAATCCGGCTTTGGTGATCGAGATTCGGGACGGATGTCTATGCGATCTGAATCCGGACCGAGCGAACTTGGAGAGCGGCGTAGAGGTAACCATTCTATCATCCTCAGCGATAAGGTATCGAACAAGTTCTGAGTGAACGATTTCGGGTCTTTCATTCGTTGCGCTGCAGGTGTCTTCTCCGGTATAACCGCCGTCAGGTCCTGGGATTCCACACATGGAGACAAACTTCGACCATTTCGATCATGAAAGCTGGAAGAATGTACGTTCCGAACCGGCGATGGCCTTAGCACCCCATCCGCACCAGTATGGTCCCCGCTCCGTGACTCGGTACGTTCTCTCGGTAGCTCATTTGAAGGTAAGGTACGGTTCCGTCGTTTCGATCGGCGTTGATATTCCTGGGGTGAAAGCTCATAAGGAACCCGAGAGAGATTGCGACACAAGCCGTCCTCCGCGTTATCCAAGCTCGCCAAGTAGCAAGCCAGTGTGCGGGCGCTCAGCTCAGTATACCGGCGAAATGGTCCCTCCGTCACGCGTTTTCGATAGCTAGCGCAAGTTGGTGTCTGACAGCCGGGATCCTGGCAGCCGTAGAGGAGTTGATTCTTGTACCTAGAAGCGTTCCCGTCAGCGGGGCCAGCGCACGCACGGCGTCATAGACGTTACCTGCGGACCAGGAGGTTGAACTGGCGACGGCGTTCATCTCTGCACCATAAAAGAACCTGCGCAGGGTCCGAGACGTCCACGGTGTTTTGAGCGATCACGTCGGGGGCGTTCGGAGGTAGCTTGGAGCGGTGGAACTGGGGTCGGTCGATGCCTCCATGCGAAACCTCATACGAGCTCACGGAAGCTCCGCGGAGCCTGGTCATCTTGACAGACTGCGGAGCATGCCGCAGCTAGCGATCGTAGGAAGACAGTGGCTTAACAAAGCACCCTCTCTATTTGTAGGTCTGCGCAGCGGAGAAAGGGGTCAAACTCGAGGCGAAGATGGTAATGTGACTCGTTATTTCTGGGGTCTGGGGGTCTTGCGAGGCTGATATCACGAGCATTTGGGGGGGCCTCAGGCGCCAAGACCAGCTCGGGTGATGAGTCAGCCAGTGGAAACACCAGGTAAGACGCCAGTCCCAATCCGGATAGTCCGGTCTTGTTGCTTGTGATCACGGGCTCTCACTTCTACTTACCTTGTACCCTCCGATCTCCCATACGTTATTATTAGCTATGGTGACACTTTCCTGTGGTACACCGGATTCCAGAAGGCCTTACTTGGTAGTTATATCCTTTTGTATCAATCCCGTGTTAATCGGCCTATGCACGGCACTACGGAGGACAAGATAGATCTTGCTGGAGAAGCAAGGGAGCTATCTCCACAGCCGAAGTCCGCGCATTGACTGGTGTAAGATAAGTGGAAAGTTCATTATAGATCCTTACATGGGTCTCGACGGGGCTGAAAATGTTGTTCACGCTGCCAGCAATCAGTGCTGATGTGTCACACCTGATTTCCACAAGTCTGTACTCTGCATTTCTCAACTGTCTCGGCTGCTAGACCATGTCTATACGGATATTCCCTACCGATTTTTCCCTAGATTTCTGCTTCCTACCTCATGATGATGTTGATTATCCCGAATTAATATGCTGTGCAATGCTTTCGACAGATGATTAAAAAGGCTTCTGTCGAGAACACCTTTTTAACTGTTAACCCACATTCTGATGCAGCCACGACTCAAATCGCGACACTTCCCATGAACATCAACGAAAGTAAGAACAGTATCTACCAAGGCTACAATGACTGTCAGAAGTAACAATCGATGATATTTGACTGCATTGATCAATGGCAATATGGCTACCACTATATCGCCTAAGACCAGGGTACAGCCTGAATGTTCCATGACGATCGACATTACATACCATGATAGCAATCGCGGATTGACTGCTCATTATTCCATCTCTCTGCTATTTTAGCCCTGGCCAACAATCTTGCCACTATTTATATTGCTTGCCCCATTGTTACCCCCCTCATCTGCGGAAGATATGGTCTAGCTTCTTGCCAAGGCATGTGGAGGCATGGTACAACCGTCTTCAAGATGTAGGAAGTTATTTCAGTATCAAAGGTGGAGGCTTACGCTCTTCCAATCCCAATTCCAACGCTGGTTTGAAAGTCCGGCATTGCCAGGTTCTAGCCAACGCCATGATGTTGTGGTGCCCTCTACACTACTGACTGGGTTAGTGACCCCTCATAATGTCAGTGTTGGACTTGATGACCTTAATGCAAGCGAGTGCTGCATGATACAACAAAGTAATACTAGCTAATCTGTTCTGTTACAAATATTACTAGTTAGAAATAACCATACATGTATCCGAATCAGGCAGTAGACCAAATAACACAAGAACGGGTGGCAATATGCACATATATTGCAGCACCAAGTATTCTCAACTAATGTTTCGGGCTCCTTTCCCTCGATTCATCGCGCACGCGCAGACCAAGTCGACCCCCCTCTTCAGCCGTACGGGTCTTTTAATCTATATCACATCAAAGGCGTAAAATGGTTCACCCATAAACAGACGATGTGGCGTGCATGGAAATATATTCCGTGTTTTAGCCCTGCAGCTGGATTTGTCGGTCCGCCTTAGACATTTAGACATGGATTAACCATCTGAACTAGTATGCACTATGTACTAGCATTTGCCCAGATGTTGGTGTCATACTAGCATTCGGCACCCAAACCCCTCTACTAACACTTCCACACCAGTCCAAAAATGTAACACAATCCCTGGAAGTCCACCATCGGCTACGACTACCGCGAGTACAAGATCAACAGCTGCCCACTAGTCGGACGGACCAAGAAGACCAACTACCCCGATCAGTGAGACCAAGCTTTATATTCCCTCAAAGATGTTAACTTTGAAGGATTCTACTGGGAGCTGATAACCTCTTGGAAAAACGACGGAGCCGGCGACGGCAAATTCACTGCGTCGTATACCAGTGAACTCAAGGTCACCAAAGGCAGCGAGAACACCCTGAACGCGAGCATGGGGATGTTGTTCGAAGGCCTGAGTGTCGGTATCGACGCATCCTCCAAGACGTTCCAACAGACAGAAACGACGACAAGCGAGACGCACACCGTGGAGCTTGCTTACGGTCCCGGCGCAGACGACCGTTCACCTTTATCAAAAGGTCTACTAGTTCAGGACGAATATTTGGTTCATGAATGATGGACGTGGTGAATTGTTTCGGTTGGGCGGTCATGAATGTTATATTCCTGCGCATGTGGAGGGATATGTTGAGATCCATTCGTCGGAGTATTTCTCCAAGGAGGAGGAGTTGGAGAGCTTGGATAGAATCGATGCTCACTATTTGGATCCTGAGTGGCGTGGCTATACGATCACGTACTTTTTGAGGATGCGACGGATGAATGCATAGACTATCTCTGGGATCATGGTGTCACTGTTCCTACCTTGTAGGTGGGGGCCTTATCTTGGGCTGGCTTTTTCTTCTATTGGGGGGTTTCACCATACTTTTATGCGAACGCAGAGATGTTCGGACATCATGTGTATCTGGATCTGATAAGCTTTGACGAAATACAGCCTCTTTGATCTACTACATAGCAATCAATCACTTAGTGCCATCCATCATAACCGAGGCCCCTGAATCACCATCTTAATCCCCTCTCCCCGTCTAGCAGCCTCCCACGCCTCCGTCGCCTCCTCGAACGGAAACACCCTGGATATCAAACCCTGAAGCACTACCCTCCCCCTCCTCACAAGATCCACCCCCAAGTCAAAATCCCCAGCTCCATACCGAAAACATCCCTTGGCCACAGCCTCCTTTTCACACATCTCGGCAATCGGAAACTCCATCATCCTCTTCCCCATCCCAGCTTGCACATACGTGGCCCCCTTCTTCAGCACAAACACCCCCGTCTGCACCGCCATCTCTGCCCCCGACGCATCAATCACGACATCCGCACCACCATTATCCCTCAGTCCACCCTCATTCAGTATCCTCTCAACATTCCCCTCCACCCCCAAATCCCTATCCATAACTGCCCCTCTGCCCACGCTCTCCCCAACAAACCCCCTCGCAAATCCCACCCTCCCCTCCACCACATCCACCGAGACCACAACACTAGCCCCAAACTCCCTCGCCACTGCCGCACAAAATAACCCCACAGTGCCTGCCCCAAACACCACGACCTTATGTCCAGGCCTCACATTAGCAAGTCTCACAGCGTGAACAGCCACAGCCAACGGCTCAATCAAAACCGCTTCCTCTAACTTAATGCACTCAGGCACCTTGTAGCAGAAGTCTGCGGGGACGCGGAAGTACTTGGTCAACGTGCCGTGCACGAATGGCGGGTCCGCGGCGAACTTCATCTCCGGGCAGAGGTTGTAGCGCCCGCTTTTGCAGGAGGTGCAGCGTCGACAGGGGTAGCCTGGCTCGATAGAGACTTTGTCGCCAGGCTCGAGAGTGGTTACGGCGGTGCCGATGGCGTGGATGATTCCGGACGCTTCGTGGCCCATTGTTAGGGGGTGAGTGGGGGAGACGTATGTGCGGATGCCGCCGTGCAGCCAGAAGTGGACCTGATAGTGTGGGTGAGTATGATATAAGGAATGTATGGGATAAGATGGGATGGATGGAGCTTACATCGCTGCCGCAGACGCCGGTGTATGCTATGCGGATGAGGACGTCGTGGGGGTTGTTGTCGAGGGTGGGAATTGGACGGTCTTCAAAGCGTGCGTCTAGTGGGCCGTAGAGAAGGCAGGATGGGTTGGATGGGTTGGGGTTCATGGTAGATTAACTTGTGTCTGTCTTAAACCTGGGGGAAATGTGGTATCCAGTTAGATTGGAGTCTGTCAATTTGTTGATCAATGGCTATCTTGGCAGTTTATGACCCCGCTTGAGATGTTCATATACATGCTTTCCATAAAGTGTCGGCGCTCTGTCGGCCGAGGACAGATAAGTGGATGGATGGTAAGACTGACGTTCGGTGAAGCGCCGTCGGGGCAGGTATCCAGCGGCTGGCCGTGCTCCGATAGTCTGATAGTAGATTATTATTCTCTCTGCTTTGGTAATTCTTGTTCTGCTTTTTCTTTGTTTTCCATATGATACTTCTCCTCCCTGTTAAAGGGTGTCATAAAACCCAGTCCAAGTAATACCCATTATCTACCATTCACATTTGCCAGTCCTCTGCATTCTCAGCGACCAGTGCAGCTCCTGAAATATAATCAAACGATTCAACTTCGTTCGTATTCGGAAACCCCTCGAGTCCTTCAAAGATATCCATATCAAATGACGTCGCATCAAAGAGCATCTGAAGGGAAGGGTCAACAGCAAGTGTATCGAGACGCGTGCCCGTGCTATTATACTCCATTGGTAATTGTGCCGTGCCCGGGACACTTGTCGAGGAAGGCTCCCCCACTGCAGTAGGGCTAGCTTGTGACTGATACATAATCCGGTCAAGTACTTCCAAGCACCGCGCTGCAGCTTGATTCTTCTGGCTCAAATTAGCGAGGCAGTCACGCGATCTCTCTATGGAAGATATCCAGAGCTCGTGATTTGCCGCCGCCAAGCTTCTATCCAACGGCTCCTTTGGTCGGAGATGATAGATGCTGAGAACGACGGATGCCTGGAAGAGGAAGTATGTCGCGTACCAGCATAGGCCGAAATGTAGCGTATCCGAATAGTCAACACAGAAGGTAGTGATATTCTGGATACACTCTACGGCGGCATAGTGGCACATGTTTCGGGCTTCTTCGCTGTCTGACGGAGAACCGCATATACGCTGAGTTCCCCACCATAGCATCATTCGCAGGTTTTGTTCCTTCCAGCTGACTATTGCTCGAGGTCCGCGGAACCATGTTGGGACATCGTGGGCCGTAAAGTAAAGCGGCAGTGAGAGTCTCCAGGCCTTGAGCTGATGATCGAGTGATCGTGGGGTCTTCATATCCAGGTCCTTCTTTAGACCTGCTATCACGTTACAAAATACGGTGTTTCCGATGCGTGATAATCGAGCCTGTGCTATTATCGCGGAGTAAGTAGTCGGTTTGTCGATGGGGAGTGGGACTATGGAATCTAATGGGTAAGTCTGATGGTGATCAATTAGCTACGACTTTCGTCTCTTTGTTTTAGCATGAAATCAGTTACCGAGTCTTCGATATTGCGAGGGAGTTGGGTTTCGATGAAACAGTCCGACGACATCAGGGGCCTTCCTGTAGTCAGACTGAATCCGCTGTCAAATGAGTAAACAATCCACCACACTACTCTTCTTCTTTCGCTAATCAAGGTGTCGTGCGTCGATTCCCTCATTGGTTCACGATGGAGGCCCAGTCCAAGAGCCATTCGATATGCTATTCCAATGAAGTTGTATCCGGTATTTGGTCGATCCCGCTTTTGGAGAAAATTCCCCTGTGCCATTTAGCCTTGAAACATGCTTGCGATATACACTGACGCGCATTAAGGTGACCAACCATCAAGAGGAACGCTTGAACTGTGAGAAGTGCACCAGACTCCAGCAGACCTATTGACATACGCGATCGTGCAGCCATGTAATATCTGGACTCCTCTACTTTGGAGCCACCGGATATCACCCAGTCACCGATTGCCAGAACGATATAGAAAATCAAGTGCCATGTGGAGTGAGGTGGAGTATGATGGCGGTTCTGGTACTTCTCTCTGAACGTCTTTTCATGTAGAACTGGAAATGATTTGTTATACCACCCGAAATAGGCGTCAAATAGAGAGTCCGTGAGGATGGAGTTATCAAGTTCCCTCAGAATGTGCGGACTCGCTAATTTGGTCGAGATTGCAGGGTGTTGTCCTCTTCGAATAACCAAAGGAGCAGGATGCTCGGGTAGTAAATCTGAGATGGTTTCCAGTATACATGACCCAGATGAGTTTCCTAAAAACCACAATCAATCTCATTCATAAAAATATTCTCAGGCCACCTACCTAAGTAACCGGATCCTGGCCCTTCGGTTGGCAGTGATGCCATTCCATCGAGAGACTTGTTTGGCGGATGAGACGAGGTCATTGGACCCTCGTTCCATTCAAAGTTCTCTAATGGGGTGGGACTTTTCGCATCAAGGCTTACACCTAGCAAGCTGTTGTGGTCTGTCTCATTATTATCATGCCCCTGTCCAGCCCCTGCCAATGATTTCAATGCTTCTTCGATGTCGATGTTGGGATCCAAAGTCTGGACAAGGGTCATCAAATTCTCACAGAGCTGCTCCTTCTCTTCAAGGTTCCTATGTACATACTGAGAATATGTTTCTAAGGTACACAGGGGTCTACACTCACTTGCGAGTCAACGGTGTCCGAGATGGTACACTCTCGAAGCGACATCGTTTTCTAGTCCTCGAGCAGTAAGAGCATGGGGCGGTTCCAGAACACTTGGTAGTACACTATCAGTATGGAAATAGCTAGCAATATGCGGATTGCTCTCGGGGCCATACCTTACTCTTTCGTCTCTTGGAGCATGTCAGTACTTTATTAGCCACATGCGATAGCCCTCTAGTATATGACGGGTCACTCTTACCCGGCACTCTACACACTACTCGATGTTAGTCTAACGACAGGCTTCCTGCTAACGTAGCAGACTTACTGCCCGAAGCTCCCGTGTCTCTGATTTTAGTCTCGTCCGTTTTGCCATGCTGGTGATTGGTTTGTGGCAGGAATGTGTTACATCAACATTAAGGTTTATGCTCTATTGATCGTTGTGGTCGGCCCGCAGTCGTCCGAGGACCCCGCTGGATCGATCCACGCAAGTTAGCTTCTGGTCTAGAGATGTCAAAGACGCCGTTTCTGGGAGCTTATTTCGATGCTTAAAGACATGCAAATGGGGTCTATCATATTACCTCACATTAGTAGAAAGCGCCCTTCACTCTGTTGACGACTGGTTAGCCTTGCATAGCCCTAGCAGATCAGTGTGAAGTACTCCTAGATGCGGATCTCTGGCAATTCATCTCGCCGGTCCATCTATGGATATCTGATACCTAACTTGCCCAAGAATGGTTTGATAACTACTCGCTCTCTTGACTAGCAAACCTCAGATACTAAGCGTCGCAGTCAGCCTTTCATTGAGAGGCCCGAACGGTGCTAGTTGCAACGTGATTGGCCGAAATCGTGGCGCTCAATTGAGAGGATAAAGAAGTCGTGCGTCAGCACTAGCGATAGTGGCCGTTGCTCCGGCATCATGCGATCGGGGAAGAGTGTTTTCTTTCCTGATTATATCCAGCTCATCAGAATAGCATAATATTTGGCATACACTGCGAATGATTGTAAGATTAGCGCCGTGCAACGCCGCAGAGCTACTACTTACTTAGATTTCAGATGTTAGGAATCAGTCCAATGACAGCCCGGGGGCTTACGCATGGAAACCACGAAGGATTCACTACTAATCAGACTGACCCCCCAGTAAGAATCCCATGAGATCCAGGGGTTTTTAAAAGGCGCGACTGCCCGGCCTGGCACTCAGTCAAACTTTCCGAGTTACCCATCTTCTCCACCATATTGACAACGCGTTGTCCGGCACGGTCGCATAGCGCACAGGCCGTCAACTGCAGGAGCTCGTCTCCGCTTCATCTATATCTCTGTGTTTGACAGCTCCGGTCGGAAGTCGCCGGCGTTCAATCAGCCTGCGTGTACAGCTCGCAGGGTTCACACAACATGGAGGTCAACTCTCCCAGCTTCGCGTCGCCGCTCGCTAGCGTTCGAGCCAACAACTTGCCCATTCCCTCCCAATTCGAAGGTGTCGTTGATGCCATCAGCAATGCCAGCCCGTGGACTATCGCCTTTACCATTCTCGCGGTTCTTGTCGCTTATGACCAAAGTATGTCTTTTGACCGTTGATTATGATTCACTCGATCGGTCCTAAAATGGCTTGCTTTTCAGTCATGTACCTCATAAACAAAGGCAACATCGTGGGCCCAGCCTTCAAGATACCCTTTATCGGACCGTTCTTGGAATCGGTCAACCCCAAATTCGAGGAATATTATGCCAAATGGAAAAGCGGCCCGCTCAGTTGCGTGTCCGTCTTTCACAAGTTCGTTCCCTGGGCGCATACAGATCGTTAGCATAGACCAGACTAACAAAATCCGGTCCAGATTCGTCGTGATTGCTTCAACCCGTGATTTGGCTAGGAAAGTGTTCAACTCCCCGACTTACGTGAAGCCCTGCGTCGTGGATGTCGCTCATAAGCTCCTGGGGAAGGAGAACTTTGTCTTTATGGACGGAAAACCACATGTGGATTTCCGCAAGGGCCTCAACGGCCTTTTCACAAGGAAGGCACTGCAGTCTTACCTTCCTGGTCAGGAGGGTGTCTATAATCAGTACTTCGAGCGCTTCCTTGGTATCACGCAAAAAGCCGGCGGCAAGCCAGTACCCTTTATGCCCGAATTCCGCGAATTGATGTGCGCCGTATCGCTCCGCACATTCTGCGGCTATTATATTTCGGACGAAGCTGTGAAGAAAATCTCTGATGACTATTATCTGATCACAGAGGCAATGGAGCTGGTCAACTTTCCTATCATTCTGCCTTTCACAAAGGCATGGTACGGTAAGAAGGCGAGTGATATGGTCATGGCCGAGTTTTGCCAGGCCAGTGCGAAGAGCAAGGTCAGTATGGCAGCCGGCAAAGAACCAACTTGCATTATGGACGCGTGGGTCAAAAATATCCTGGCCTCAAAGCAATGGGTTGAAGCAGAAGCCAAGGGAATGCCAATGGAGGGCATGGAAAAACCATCTCCTCTGCTACGTGACTTCGCCGATTGGGAGATCGCTCAGACAGTGCTCGCATTTTTGTTCGCTTCCCAGGATGCTACCAGCAGCGCAGCCACCTGGCTCTTTCAGACGATGGCACAGCGCCCCGACGTGCTTGATCGAGTGCGTGAGGAAAATTATCAGGTCCGTAACGGTAACGTGCATGCTGAGGTTGACTTGGACCAACTGGAGTCCATGACCTATACCCGTGCAGTCGTCAGGGAGCTTCTGCGGTACCGACCTCCCGTGATCATGGTGCCTTATATGGCGAAGAAGCCGTTCCCAATCACTGACTCCTACACTGTTCCTAAAGGTGAGCTCTATAACATGAACCAAGACCTTAGCCGGTGCTAACTATTAACAGGAGCGATGGTTATCCCCACCACGTACCTCGCCCTCCGGGACGAGGAGGTATACGAGAACCCTGACGAATTTAATCCTGAGCGTTATTATACCGGGGATGCTGAGGAGAAGGGAAAGAATAACTATCTCGTGTTTGGAACGGGTCCACATGTGTGCATTGGACAGCACTATGCGCAGCTCAATCTGGTACTGCTCATCGGCAAAGCCTCGTTGCTGCTGGACTGGAAGCACCATGCGACCCCGCTATCAGAGGAGATCAAGGTCTTCGCAACCATCTTTCCCAAGGTAAGTGAGCAGTGAGCAAGAAACAGCTACAAGTACTGATTGCTTTCCAGGATGACTGCCCGTTGACATTTCATAAGAGGAAGTGGTAAGGTAAAGTGGTGGAATAATGGAAAGGGAGGAGGGGCGGTTGCTTACTGCCGTTTGACTCGTTTGTACAGAACTCACAATACTTATATGCATACTTTGAGTGTCAGCTTAATATTTCGACTGTCTAATCCACGACATTCTGTTTTTCCCAATTTTTATTCTACTGTTCACAGACATTGAAGACGTTGATGGACTTGTCCCATTTGCCCATATCATTGGCTCCTAGACCGTGCCCAAGAATGGTACCGTAACACTTTCAAATTACTGCTGCGGTTTTACATCCCATACACGTTCATGATATTCTCAGATCTTCGTTATATAGTCCTTTTATTGAATCTCAATAGTACTCCGTTATGCAAATATCCCAAATTCCCAACTAACGACTAGAATACCAGACCTCCACCTATCCACCAAACAGATCTTCGTTAGCTACTATTCCGCAACACCTTCCTCATCAACATAACAAAAGGGAAAGAACATACCATCAACCACAATATCCACCCCATTCAGATAACTCCCCCCAACATCACTACACAAAAGGACCACCGGCCCCGTCAACTCCTGCGGCGACCCCATACGCCGCATGGGATTTTGATCAGCCCACACCGCACGATGACCTGACAGCTGATCCCCCTCATTCAGAACCGTATCCATATAGCCAGGCGAGATGGAGTTGACATGAATGCCATACTGCGCCCATTCAGCGGCGAGACAGCTCTTCATATGAAGGATACTGGCTTTGGAGATATTGTACGCTAGCTGAGGCTGGGGATAGTTAACGCGGTGACCGCTGATAGATGCAATCAAGACGATTTTGCCGCCTGTTTTACGGGAGATCATGTGTCTGGTTTGGGGTTATTATGAGTTGATAGAAGTGCAAGTCTAAGTGGGCTTACCTGGCAACAGTCTGTGCCATGACCCAGCTTCCTGTTGCATTTACGTCTTGCATTCTCTTGTAATCTTCCAGGGACATGTCGACTGACGGGACGCAGTTGACTATCCCTGCGAAGCAGCATAAAATTCTCAGATCGCCGAGACGGTCTATGGCTGATTGAACTGCGGATTGGACTTCTGCTTCGATGGTCACGTTGCAGGGTACGGTTACGATGTTGGCGTTGGGGAAGTCATGCTGTATGGCTGAGATGTGCTCTTTGCTCTTTGTGAGGGATGTTGGTAGGTCTAGGAGAGCTAGGCCTTGTAGGCCGTGCTCAAGAAGTGCTCGTGCTGAGGTGAGTGCTAAAGCGCCGGCGCCGCCGGTGACTATACATTGTCTTAGTCCAGTCGCCTTTCTTCTCTACTAATAAAGAGAAAAGAGATGGCGAGATGATAAGACATACAGATGGCATTTCCCCTTACTGCGAATCTCTGTCTCGCGTTGTCGGCTGCACTGTTACTCGACGGGAAAGGCGCAGGGGGTGGCGTGAGAGATGACTGAGGGTCAAGCTCTCCTAGTTGCATCCAAGGGATTGCTGGGGTATCTGAGTTGGATCCCATAGTGATTATAGTGAATTCTTATTCTATCTTGTAACTAAGTGATGAGTGGAGCCGAGGTTATTGAGATTTAACGACGTCGACTAAAGACGGTGGGGTGACTGTTTGATCACTGGGTTCTGAGTATCAACTCAAAAAGGCAAATTATGCGCTGTGGTTCTAGGGTGTTTTCTTTTAATTATTAAGGTGTCTGCTTGAACCTACTGGTTCTCGGCTACCTGTCGACCGATGGGGTTTGGGGTAGAGTGCAGATGCACCGGGCTAAGCCCCGAGCGGGATGATTGAATGCGGGGACTCCGGCGGGATGCGGAGGTTGTCCGATTAGGTCCGAATGGCCACCAATACAATGCTTCGGTCGTCTGTTGCCCGAGACCTGTTCTGCTCTTCTTTGCTCGTTGAAATTAAGTCAACAGGCTCGCCTTCAATGATTAGGAGCTTGCAACGGGGCGGAGTCTGAAGCAGATGATCAAAGATGGAATCAAAGCGCCAGTTTGGATCGAATATTGTTGGTTCGACGCTTGTGTACTCACTAATCCCGGACAGAAATCATTGGTTCGAAGACTAGGTCGGACCACAGTTACCCGAACAAGTATATCATGATGATTGAGATCAACTCCTGGCTCTTTCTAAGAGAGTGGGGCAACCAGGTTCAATTCTCAAAGGACCAGTATTTGTTGTGCAACCCCGCTGTCTCTGGTCGCGTGAAGTGAAAGAAGAGAATCAGCAACCATCAAGGTAAATACCGTTCCAAGGAAAATATCTTAAAAGGGCACGAAGTACCTTCCAGTCTTATAATTGTCAGGCTTCATCTTTTGATACTCCCGCTTGAACCAGTCTTGAATTCTTTTCATTTGCTGCGGTTGTTAACTACCACCTCTGTTCAACATGTCTATGAGCGTAGCCGAGTGTGCCCCAGTCCGTGAGGGATACCCTCGCCCGTTCCCAAACACGCCAACAAATGTGTTGGCGCAGATGCGTCTGAGCGGAAAGGTTGTCGTGGTCACAGGAGCTGCAGATGGTATCGGCTACGCAGTGGCTGAAGCCATGGCTGAGGCTAATGCCGATATTGCCATGTGGTACAACTCGTAAGCTATGCCTATTCTAGCATCGGATACAAGATTCCACATCTAACCAAGTCATGATAGCAATGATGCAGCCGTCGGGAAAGCGCAGGCACTGGCTTCTGCTCATGGGATTAGAGCTACTGCTTACAAGGTCGACGGTGAGTTTTGCTTGTCATGCGTTATTAAAGGCTTGGAATACTGATTCTCTCAGTTTCGGATGCGGATGCCGTTCAACAAGCAATTGCAGATGTCGCCAAAGACTTTGGCAAGATCGATGTATTTATCGCAAACGCCGGTAGGATGCAATTTTTGTCGCGCAGTGCATTACATCGCTAACATTCTAAACAGGAATGGCTATTTCCAAGCCTCTTCTGGAGCAAACACTGGAAGAGTATCGGAAGCAGATGTCGGTGAACGGTAAGATGCTTCCTCTTCTGCTGTAGACTAGATACTGATGACGGTATACAGTCGATGGCGTTCTCTACTGCGCCAAATATGTTGGAGAGGTGTTCAAGCAACAAGGCTTTGGTAATTTGATCATTACATCTAGCATGAGTGGTCACATTGTCAATGTCCCCGTTGATCAACCCGTTTACAATGGCAGCAAGGCCTTCGTGACGCACTTTGGAAAATCACTTGCTCGCGAGTGGAGAGAGTTCGCCCGTGTTAACATCGTCTCTCCTGGCTTTTTCGATACCAAGATGGGTGCCAGTCCGCAAACGGTCAACGAAGCCTATCGGATGGCGCCGCTTGGGAGGCAGGGCCATGTGAAGGAGATCAAGGGATTGTATTTGTATCTCGCCAGTGACGCGTCTACATTCATGACTGGCAGTGATGTCCTCATCGACGGTGGTTACGTGCTACCATGAGTCAATAATGCTGCCTCTTTGCTGCTGATAGTAACAGTGCGTTTACATTCATAGGCTGGATGCCATGTGTTAGACTAGTACTACTATTAGCTGGTGCTCCACAGTGAGGTTAGAGAAATATATTTTCGGCTGGACCATTATTAACTACTACTTTGGAATGGCAGAAGCACGTCAGATTGCTGTCACGTCCCCTAAGCCACATCGGAGGGTTTATTAGAATATTTTAGAAAATCGGCCAAGATACTTTCGAAGACTATCGTCGGTTTTGAACTGACGATACAGGAGACCAAAAGAGTATTCGTCGGCCTTCTGTGCATAAAAGGATATAATGACTAATAGAGCACTAGCAGGGTGGATATTGTGTGGGCACGTGCATTGAACGTCATTGGGCCCAAAGCGGCAAGGCGGCGCAAATCTCGGTGATTATCAATAATTAATTCTGCTTCGGCGCTGAGGGGCAACAATTGAAGACTCATCCCGACTCATCCACCCTTCCCTATCTCATTTACCTTCACTCGCTCGTGTGGATTGATCTCTTCCACTAATATAAATATATACAAGTGTCACTGGGATAGCCACTTGTTCTCCGATACCCAGCGGTCGCAGCATTTGAGATTGTGCCCCGCTTCGTCCATCCCACAATCATTTAACGACCTCTACACGACATTTTCTTTCATCGTGATACCCCTGCGTTGTTTCGCCGATTTTATTCAAGATGGACGGCCCTGCATCTTCCCTCCCCTACACCTGCAACACTTGCCTTGTTGCTTTCCGCGGCAGCGATGCGCAGCGGGTGCACATGCGCACTGACTGGCAGTAAGTTTCTTCATATAACCACTGGATAAGCCTACAGGAACTGATCACGTCTGCACTAGCTTGTATAACATGAAGCGTCGCATTGCCTCTCTTCCCCCAGTCTCTCAGGAAACCTTCAACGAAAAGGTGCTTGCCGCCAAAGCCACCACCACTGCCGCGGCCGCCAAGGCATCGTTCGAGACGACCTGTGTCGCTTGCCAGAAGACCTTCTACAGCGAGAACTCCTACCAGAACCACATCAAGAGCTCCAAGCACAAGGCTCGCGAGGCCCGCATGAGCCGGGAAAATGCCGACGAGTCGTCCTCCGTCATGAGCTCCACCTTCTCCCTGGGAGAACCCATCAACAAGCCCCGCGTCGGAGAGTCCGAGGTCAACAAGGTCGCCGAGACCCTCAAGGATGCTACCATCAAGGAAGAGAGCAATGAAGACGAGGAGATGTCTGATGATGGGTTCTTTGCGTCTCGTTGTCTCTTCTGTCTGCAGAAGTCGGACAATGTTGAAGAAAACACCGAGCACATGTTCAAGACCCACGGCATGTTCATTCCCGAGAAGGACTACCTCGTTGACATTGAGGGTCTTCTCCACTACCTGTGGCGCAAGATCAACGAGAACAGCGAATGCACCTACTGCCATATGATCCGCAACACCCCCGAAGGCATCCGCACCCATATGAAGGACAAGGGCCACTGCATGATCGCTTTCGAGTCTGAGGCCGAGCAGATCGAGATTGGCCAGTACTACGACTTCCGCAGCACCTACTCAGACGACGAAGAGTGGGAGTCTACCGGCAGCGAGACACATGAGGAAGGCGGCGTCAAGGTTGACGGCGAAGACGAGGGATGGGAGACAGACGCCTCATCCATGGACGAGGACGAGGACGACCTCGACAACCGTAAGCGCGCGCCCGTCGTCTACGCCACCGACTACGAGCTGCATCTGCCCTCCGGTCGCAGCGTCGGTCACCGCTCCCTCGCCAAATACTACCGCCAGAACCTGCACAACTACCCCACCGCAGAGGAGCGTGCCGAGCGCCAACTTGCCATCGAGAACGGCGAGATCGAGGAAGAGGAGCCGAAGCCTCGTGGCCGCAACCTCAACCGTGCTCTTATCACCCGTGCCAATGGCGGTACTGGTATGATTGGAACGACGGATTCCCAGAAGAGGGACGTGATGATCAGCGAGCGCAAGGAACGCCAGAGAGCCATGCGACAAGAGCAGCGCTTCACGGCACGGGTCAACCGGCAAGCCAACCACCAGAAACACTTCAGAGTAAGCTTACCGCCCGGGATTGTTTTGATTTTCATGATACTAATTAGATGGTACAGGATCCTCTCCTGCAATGATCTCATACATTTCGTCTTCTTGCATCGTATGTTGATGAGTCTATGAATCATTTCAGGCTATTTGTTTCTTGGGTTTAGTTTCTGCATTGCCGTGCTGCTGGCATCGTCTTGTTTATGGAGTTGTGGTTGGGTCCATGCACATGCTTTATGATAAAAGTAGGGTGAATAAATAGAGATGATTCTGGATACACTTACCTTAGTAGATTACTACGTACTAGCGGATCTCCAAGTAAAACAAATAGCCAGTTTACGGAAAGTCTGAAAGCTAACAATCAACAAATCAATCCAAAAAAACAAAAAACAAAAAACAAAAAAGAAATTAATGTGCATCATCCGTGAATCGAACACGGGCCTCATCGATGGCAACGATGAATTCTACCACTAGACCAATGATGCTAGTTGATATATTATGCCGCATTCTATGCACATATCAGTGGTTGAAAGAATATCGAACCAACCAGTCCTCGACAGGTACACATACTCAATATTCCATGACAGAAAAGATACTTATGTTGAACATCCAGACTATATCTGCTCTAACTGTAATTACCAGCAGTTCTGATCCTACTAGTTTATCACTTACAGACTATTAAATGAACATTGCTCCAATAGCAGCATCGAACCCTGTACGAAAACCATCTAGGAGACCAATAAAAAGGTCAACTAAGGATATCATGTCATACTAAGTATTACTACATTCCAGATTGATAAGTGTCTACTACGAACCACCTACTAGTAGCCATCCCAGTTATGTTCCTGAATACGTTCAGGGATCATCCTCGTCCTCCTTCTTAGTTTCCTTGGCAGATGTGCATTACTTGGTGATGTTACCTAGGTGTATATCATACTGATAATAAAACAAGAGACCTGATTAGAGTCGGAGTGAGTGAGTGGGTTTCGAGAGGGGGAGGATGACCGATTGCAAGAAAGAATGAAAGCCACGATGCATGAAATCCCTGAATTGTTATCATCCCTAGGGAATCAAGGAAGATTTGGCTATATTACATGGTATTATCCATCATGTGGACGATGATCTTGCATGGTCTGACTCGGGGAATTATTTTACATTATGATGGGTCTACAGTTTGTGTTCTAGATTTACTATTATTCCCGGGGGTACAGTCGGCATTCTACATCAGAGAATACTTAGAAGTATGGCTAGGATGCTGGAAAGCGGATTATCACCCAGTCTTGAGATGAGATGCTGGATGGATAGTGGTTCCTCCATCATCTGTAAAAGCAAGTAGGGGCAAGATAGGGTCGGTGTTACATTTTATGCAAGGACCTATCACGAGAATGCCATTCCTTAAAGATACTACTGATCACAAATCTCATCTACACCGCCAGACCCCTCAATGCAACGACAAGTGTCAAGCGACCAGGTACTGGCACGCAGGGTCGGCTATGCATGGAAAATGAATATATGGTGGGAAGGAAAGAAATACATCGGTTCCTCGGAAGCATGTGCATCACACACGACCAGCTGTTCGGTCGTACTTGTGTACAGGCTAAATTTTTGCAACGTAACAACAACAACTATCCACATGTCGCCCTGTCGCTCTGGCCAGCAGAACACTCGGAGCGTCTGAAATTATCTTGGTTATTGCGACAGTAGAGGGGTATTTTCGCCCGACTCCCCGTTCTTCGAACCTTGTCCGCGCTTTCTGCGACGACGGCGTCTCTTATTTCCGGCGGACTGATTATTCCCCAGGTCGACGATCTCGCCTTCCTGGCGGACAGGGAACTCCGGATTTTCGCTCGTTCTCGGTCGTTCAGATTCAGATGAGCTGGTGCTTGTGGTGTGGAGCACAACCTTGCGGATGCCGTTGACATCGACCACCTGCTCTGTGATGCTACCACTGCGAGCCGGTCCTCGGTGAAGGTAACTGCCCGGCTTGAGATGCTCGGATTGCGAGTCGATGGACCGGGCACTGCCGGTTCGACTGCCCGCTGACCGAGGGTGATCATCCTGTTCTTCATGGACCGGTTCGGGTATCGATATCGGGAGACCATCCTTCGTCTGAGTACCGGCATCAGCCGGCGGATTGGAATGGCTCATCGTGCCATATCCCGCACGGACCGCATACACCCCATCACGGGCGTCCATACCGCTCTGTACAAGTCCGGCGCCGATACCGCCCTGCAGGCCGATGGAATTATGTCTAGGTTGTACATCGGACATACTCTGGCTGGATTCAAGATCGGTCTGTCCGGATCGGGATGGCGAGGCACTCCGTTTGATCTTCACATTTTGGTATCGAGTTTGGCGCGGTCGGCTGGCCAAGTTTGATGGACCCAGGTGCTTCAAATGCTGTCTGATCTCATCCGTGGCCCCGCGATGCGTGAACAAGCCGTCTGTCGAGTCTGAGTTCTTATCTGAGGTGGGCCGGCGGAGCTGGAACCGGGGCAAGGGTGCCTCTACGGAAAGCCGGCGATGGTCCTTCGGGGCCCCATTGGGCGGAGCAGGGGACTCGTTGTCCACCTCGACTAGAGTGGTCTCAGCCGGAAGCATGGGCGGATCTTCGACAATCCGGCCCTTGGGAACGCGGGACTTGGGAGCAGGAGCCATGCGGCGGATGGCCTTGTGCACATCCACGAAGACATCGGACTCGTCGATGATTTCCCTACAAAGTGTCAGCATTGTTCGGACCTTTTGGGGCTTGTCTGGTACTTACTCTCCGATGAGCTCCTCAATCACATCTTCCAGGGTGACCACACCCAAAGCGCCGCGATCCTCACTCGGATACTCCGACACCAATACCATGTGGGATTTGCCCTCTTGGAAGAAGTTGACGATATCCAGACAGCTTGTCTCCGGGCGGGTCTCGGGTAGCGTGGCCAGAGCAAAGTCCCGCACGCGCTTGCAATCTTCGGGGTCATAGGTGATCAACATTTTGACCAACAGCATGCCGACGAAGTTCATCGGGTTGTCCGGAGCGTGAATGGGAATACGGGAGTATCCCTGCGACAGAATCAGGTCCATCGTGTTTTCGTCTAGGATGGTGTCGGCGGACATGGTGAAGACGTCTTCCATTGGGGTCATGATGCTGCCCACCGCCTTGTCCTTGAGGTCAAGGACAGCGCTGATGATGGTGACTTCATCGGAGTTGAGCTGTTCACCGGCTTCACCCAAAGTTTTGTGCAGCGTCACCAGGGTCTTGAGACCGGCCTTCTTGTAGATGGTGCCGTGATCCTCACCCAACAGCTTATCGAGCAGCTTCGCGACCGGGTAGGCGACGGGAGACATGAGGTACATGAGCGCTAGGACACATGGAGCCATCCAGGCACCAATGGGGAGACCGTAACGGACACATATCGACTGGGGGACGATTTCACCGAAAATGACTAGACGCGACAGAGGGAATTATGGTAAGCAAGGATGCGAAGGCCAAGAAGAGGGATTTTTCGGACATACCAATCAAGACGGTACTGCCGAGCACCGCAGGCCAGCCACCGCCAAGTGAGCGGTCGAGCACGATTGGAAGCGTCTCGTTGGTGATCACATTGCTGAGCAGCAGCGTGACGAGGACCCAGTGCTTTCCTCGCTGCAACAGCTTCAGGACACTTGCGGCATTTTTGCGTTCGGAGCCTTCACCGGAGGTCTGAATGACTTGTAGGTAGACTTCATCCTGTTTGGTGGAGAAAGGAAGTCATCAGCGTCATTGCACAGGAGCAAGGAAAAAAGGTCTGAGTGTGAGATTGGAGTTACCTGTCCCATCAAGGCAATGGTCAAACCAGCGAAGGCACCGCCGCTGAGAACGAGGGCGGCGGCGACACCTAGGTACAGCCATAGACTGGGGTCACTGGGGGGTTTCGGGTCGACATCGGAGTTGATGATAAAAGTTGGGGCGGCGGAGATGACGGGCAGGTTGGCAACAGCCAAGAAGCAGAGCTTTGCTAAACCAAGGACGAGAGGCCGGGCGGCCAGGATACGGGTGGCAGAGGATATAGCCATCACCGAAGGGCAATGGAAGGAGGGTGGAAAAAAAGAAAGAAAAGACAAGAAAGGCCCGAAGGCTACCAGAGGGGCATATTTGAGGAAAGAGACGACAAGAAGAGAGAGAGAAAGGGTACGTACGAATTGGGGGGGCGGCTAAGCTGGATTGGGGGGCGGGAAAGCAGAAAGATGGATGGAAACGACGAAGTGGTAACCACTCCGAGTAAAGGTTCTGCTGCTGCTGCTGCTTTGCTTAGTAGTGGCTGGCGGCGTAATCGGAACAATTGATCAGTGCGGGTGGGTGGGTGTCTGGCCACTGCGTGACGTCGCCTACTTTTAGCACTTACATTAGTACGTAGGTACTACTAGGTAGTGCTATGTCCTCCACTAAATCCATCCTTCATTATATCATTCTTCTTACTGGCTTATACTGGTTTTATTTCCCTCAACAGGAGGATAGTGGAGGGTTCTCTAATTGATTGATAGGTGGTGTCAAATAACTCACAATTCCTGCGAGATTATTATCTTCCCATCAATTGAGTCTGGAGCGCATTTCTCAGAGATAGCACTGGTCACTAGACACACACGTCTGACAAGTCCACACCCGCTTCTAGTACGACTTCTGAGCTGAGTACGGAGTAACTATTTCAAGGGCTCCATCATTCCTGCGACTGCGAAGGTCCTCATCTTCCCGCCTCCCGACGGACGATCCCGGAGGCCCCCATAGGGCGCTTCCCGATGTCCAATGAGACCGTCTGCTGTATGCTGAGGTAAGAGATGAGTCATTCTATCGAATGATTCTAGACTGACTCGTTAACTACAACGTAAGTAGGTAGTAAGTAGTCATGAAGGCATCGATATGGTTGAGTGGTGACCTTCTAGCAGATACTAAAGATATGTTCTGGACTATTCTTCCAATTACAGCTATATACATGAAGGTCTAGTAGGTAAATCATGCCACTATTTATCCTACAGCGGACTATTTCAAAATTATAGATAGACCCAGAAGCAGGAAAGAGGTATACCGAAAAGCTACAAAATATAGTTCTTATTTACAATTATCTATCTTTTTGTCTCTACAGCAAGTGCATCAAGAAAAAAAAATTGCTACCGAGTATTTTCTGTGCTGCTAGCTTTTTCTATAGACTTCGACAGTTTGTTTGACTTGAAAATATGATCAGTGACTTTCTTTGACAATTTGCGCAACAATGTACTAGTAGAACTGCCTTCACTAACATAATAGATAGACAAGCATACGCTGATCTAAGTGAACGCGCTGATTAGTTGGTTAGTCAGTGTAGACTCTGACAAGATCGGCAACGATCGAAGCAGAGAATAAAAGGAATTGCGAATATATCGGTATGAGTACTGATTATCTTTGGCATTAGAGCAGCAAAGGGTGATTTTCATGATGAAACTATGTTCTCTGCTCTAAGAATACTTAATAGCTTGTCATTTGCGTAGTTGTCTCGATAGAAGAGTCCACTGATGTCCTCTGGCTAATCCTCGAATAGCAGTTACGAGGGGCTCTATCAATCCCCAAGTATAGAATTACCGTAGTGTTGAGCTCAACTATCGCGCTTCAATATAGACCAGCAGATGCTGTAGTACTGTTATCACCGTACCTACGAAGTAAACCCTATCCTATCCTTACTTTTGCTGCCAAAATCTGTTGTAATAGCCTGCTCTCGCCACTTCACCTAACCTAGGCCATAGGCCAGTGAAGTGCTCGCCAGACCCAAAGGTGAAGGCGTCTCCGTGAAAGTTGCCGAATTGACTTTTTGCGCGGCAATTCCCATTATTCGTGTTGAATTCCCGTGTGTAGTCCCGTCATTGCCCATGACGGGTGGGAACTTCCTGAGCCCTCCACGGCATTTCCCTTTGTTTTACGTAGACTCGTAGACTCACAACCAGCGGGATATAGCTTCTAGCTACTTACCTTTTAATGGAGATATCCGAGACTCACTTGCAGCGCCATACCTATATAATCTGGTGCTTCTCGCCTCTCCTCTCTCCCACTTCAATCCAGTTCTCTTCTTTCTCCCAAACCGTCACTCATTTCTCCCCCCTGTATTGCGGTGGTAAAGCCTGCCATTCACCTTCAGTAACGAAGCTGCTGACCCAGTCACCGTAGTTAACACTCACTGCCAACAGCTTCATTCACTGGACGGTCAGTCTCCTGCCCCCCCAGGACTCTCTGACCCGCCCACCATGTCTTCCCCTTCCCCCTCTCCTCTTCTCCCCTTCTTCCTCTTCCTCTTCCTCCTTCAACGAACTTTACCAAGATCCGATTCTTCTTAACTTCGTTGACACTTACAGTGTTTAGCAAAGCTTATCGCGGAATCATCTTCTTCGTATCTTCGTTAACATCTTCCTGTGCTTTTTCCAAAGTACAAACCGCTTTTTAAAGCTTCTCTTCAAGGTTTGAGCTCCAGACCTACTACCGTTAGAATCTCGTAAACAACAGACTCACGCTGTACAGCATGTTCACCATGATGTCTCCTACGGAACAAGTCCTCGTGTACGGAAGGACCCTGAACCCGGAGTACGAGTCATTAGACATGCTCGACTTGACTGCAGGACTGGACACCGTCTTCGCAGCTCTTATTCTCTTCTTTTTCGTCGCCGTAAACTGGCACACCCTCACCTCTGGCATCTCGTTCGGGGCCAAGCTGCTTGCAGCCGTTATCTCTCCCCTCGAATCTTTCGTCGCGTGCGTTGACGCGTTCAAGAGATGGATAGTTCAGAGCCAGATGGGTCGTCGCCTTTCCGACCTCCGTAACTGGTATTTCCCTGCCCGTCGTCCCATCGCCATGATCTCGCGGGTTTATGTCACAATCGTCACTTTGATGTGGACGAGTCAAGATCTTCTGACGCCCGGCTACCATGTCTTGTATGGCATGGCTGATGGTATGGGACCCGCAGGCTGGGACCACTGGGAGTACTGCCTGAACCTGGATCGTGGTTCTCCGGCAGGCCGGTGGTCCAGCAGTCGGCGGCTCCAGGGATTCCATTGTGACGGAGTCGACCTCGGCGTGGAGTTGTTTTCTGTCTGGGAAGACTACATCCCAACGTTCAGCGTTGGAGATGATATTGAACACCTCCAGATTTTCCGTTTCGTCTGTTTGGTTTTGGCCCTCGCCAGCATTCTTGCCGGGGCTGTTATCGCTATCCGTCATTCTTCTCCTGTCAAGGCCATTGAGACGCTTTGCAGCTGGACACGTTCGAAGTCCAAGAACGGTCCTGAAGATGAGGCACAGCACCAAGATACAGTGTTGCTCGAGCAAGTTGGACTTCTTTCGGCCAGGATTGGCACTTACGAAGCAATGCTGGATGAGGTACGAGGCCAGCTGGCCGCCAAAACCGAGCAGGCGAACGGACTGGAGGTGCGCTTTGACGAACTTCGGTCGAGAAATCAGATGCTGGTTGCACGTTGCGAAGAGGACAAGGTTGCCCAGCAAGAGAATCTGATCGCCGGTCTTCGTCAAGAGCTAGATCGGGTCAACTGTCGCCTCATAATGGCTAACGGAAGAGCGCGGGGGGCGCAGTACAAGTCTGACTCACGGGAGCAGACTCTCACCAACCGTGTCGCCGAGCTAGAGGAGCAGCTGGCTCGCAACAGTGATGAAGCGAATGCCAACTCTCGCGGCATTATTGAATCGCTTCAAGCAGACCTACAGACTCGGACCGATGAGCGCAACGTGACGGAGGAGGAGGGTCTCCGCAAGGATGCAGAGATCTCTAGACTCCAGGAACTACTTCTGGTTCAGGAGCAGCAGTCTTACGAGCGGGCGAGGGAACTCAGCAACGTCGAAGACCAGCTTTCCAAGCAAGAAGTTGTGATCCTGGAACTGGGCGCAAAAGTCCGGGCCTACGAGGCAGCACCCCAGGTGCAGGCCACGGAGCCTAACGCCGCAGAGATCCGTGACCTGGAAGAAAAGCTTCGGTTTTTCCAGGCACAGTGTCACACGCAAGCAGCACAACTCGGAACCGCGGAGGTCCAAGTGAATGCCCTGCAGGCCCAGCTCGCGGGACACTCCCCCGTGCTGGAGCAGCTCCGGATCGCAGAGGCCGAGCACGTAAAGCTGGAGGCAGAGGGTCGCGCAAAGCAAGAAGAGATCGACTTCATGTTGCAACAGTACGACACACTCTTTGCCGAGCATTTCGAGCTTACTGGACAGCATAAGAACCTTTCTGAACAGCATGAGAAGCTGCAGAGTGCGTTCAAAGGGGACGATGCTGCCCAGGAAATCCTGGGGCTGCGGGCCGAGATCGAGTCTCTGAAATCTGCGTTGGATAGGAACAGCGCGGCCCAGGAAACTCTGAATCTCCGGGTGGAGGTCAACGCGGTGAAGGCGGTCGCCGAAGAGAAGGTGAGGGAAGCCGAGGCGAAGGCGACAGAAGCCGAGCAGAAGATGATGGAGGCTGAGGGGGTCGCGAATTTTCTCCGGCAAGCCGACGAAGGGCATCGCAAGACAATGAAAAGCCTCAAAGATGCCTACGATAAGGAGGTGGAGAGATACGATGACGAGGTCGCGGCGGAACGTGCGGCTGCCGACGAGGCTCGGAAGCAGGTGAAGGGCCTGGAGGAGGAACTCAAGGAGATGTCGCGGCAAGTCGGCATGGCCTCCAGGGATGCTCAGCGTTTCCGGGAGCAGAAGGAGGGCACCGAGGCGGAGAGGGACAAGCTCACGGGCGTCAATGACGTCCTTGAGCACCGTCTGAAGTTTTGGGAGAACAGGGAGAGTATGCAAACGATCCCCAAGCGCCGTACGGGCGACTTGGGGTCTCTTGCGACGGCTCTGGACGAGGCCAGGGTCGAAATCTCCAGGCAGCAGACCGAGATCAACGATCTGCGTGCCAAACTCCAAGCTCAGACGGAGTCCGCCGCCTCAGCCGCTTCTGCTCCCTCCGACCAGGCCCTTCAAGACAGCGTCAACCGTTTGCGACATGCCATGGAGGTCGAGAAAAGACAGCGAACCGAGGACCAGGTTCGCTGGGGCCGGCAGGTCCAAGAGTTGCAGCAGGAAAACCAGCGGCTGCGGGTTTCCATCTCCAGCGCCAGCCTGGGTCGCGGCCGCGGTCGTGGTCGTGGCCGAGGTGGTTGACGCTGTCGCCTGTCTTCCGGGCCTTCAAGCCCCATCATCTTCGAAATGGCTTCCCTGGTGTGAGAGTGAGTGAGTGAGTGGAGGAGGGTGGGGGAGAGAGAGAAAGATACTAATGACAATTGAACTCAAAAGGACACTCTGACTTGCGACCGGCCTCGCCAGGATTTCGGCATGAAAAGCTCGGGATACTGGCAGCCTGCTATATACAGGCTACTACTACTACTACTACTACTACTACTACTACTACTCCTCAACAGGCAGGGCAATGATCGGATGTCAATCATCATCGACAGGGACACAAGGAACGATCGACAAACCAGAATATGGTAATAAGGCAAAGCAATTGGAAAGTCTAAACCGGGTGGAGGTGTTCGTGAGATGGCCACTCGGTATAGAGGGAGTGAGTTGTTAGATAGTCAATCAGTCACAGTGGAAGCGAAAGGTGTGGATCACGGGGTCAGTCGGGGAAAAGGTCCGTGACTGGCAGCGATAACGGTTTCCCTTCCCTTTTCATCCTCTTCAACAGTTCAACTTCATCCCACAAGAACCACAATTTCAACGGCCGGCTGGCATTAATTTGGGGGCACCTGCGTGCGGGAGAGGAGAGGATCCTATCAGATCCACGCTGCGAGTAAGTACTTATCCTTCTTGGATCATAGCCAATGGATTGGGAAATTGATCCGAACTAACACTCAATAGTGGCCAGTAGTTCTCAACAAGCGCCGCGCTGTTTCATTCCCTCCCTTCCGTGCGTGTTTCACCTTGGGCCACCAAACCATGGGCGACCCCGTTCTTCATTCCACCAATTCCACCAATTGCTCCACATTCTTCCATGCAAGCCCCCCCTCCATTATCATACAATCCCGCCAACTCTCTTTTTTTCTCGCGTGGATTGCTCGGCTTCTGACCCTCAAGGGGTTCGCCTTTTCCCTGTGAACTGTCGTTCGTTTCTACTCCAAATTACCTCGTCTTTCCTTATTCCCATTGTGGCCGATATTTCGTCTCTTTCTCTGTCTCTCTCTCTCTCCCTCTCTCCTGTGCTTATCAGCAATTGCGATCGGTGTTGTAACCGCAGCAGCACGCGCCAGGACCCCCCTTCCCCTATCTTGGCACGTTCGCCCTACCCACTGAAGCTAGCCGCCAACGTCGCAGTTCAAGCGTCACCATAATCTTTTACAACACTTCAATGGCTATTCAGAATGGGTCCGCAGTGATTGACAGGTCGCTCGTTTGACCTCGGACTCCAGCAATCTCTCAGCGGTTATGCGCGATTGTTGTCGATAGTCGCTGGCCGTACTGCTGACGCTTTCCTCTCTTTCCTTGGCGCGGTCTCGTACATAACAATTTCGAGATCCTGGCTTCCTCTCACTCTCACACTACACTCTCACTCTTTAATCTTCGCTCTCGTTGCGACTTCGACTTCGCCCGGCTGGACCGACGAAGCATCACTCTTTTTCCCATTGAGACTGTCTCCCTTCACCTTCTTTTATCTCATTGTGTACTGGCGACACCGGATTGGTTATCGGCATGTTTTGTTCTGGAGACAGGGAGAAAGGGCCTGTGGCCTTGGAGGAACAGTGGGATTACATTGTGAGCTCTATTCCTGGATTGGTCCTCCCATGGAAATGCCGCTGACGCTGACTGTTCACAGAACCTCGATGACTTCAAATCAGAGTCCTGTCTATCCCCGTTCTCATACTTCTTTCTCTACGTCTTCCTTCTTATCTCCATAGCCGTGTACGGAGTCGACACCTTTACCGCCGTCAATCTTCTTGCTTTCTCACGATGGGCGGGCCAAATTGAGCCTGCGATTCCTTTCAAAATATCGCGATGGATCTTCGCAGTTTGCATCATCATCTCTTTCGCCCTCTTGATCTACCGATGGTTGCGCGCCATTCGTGCAATCCGCTCCGGGAGTATCGCTCAGAGCTACCTCGACTCTCTCGCTGTGCGCGTTCAAAGTATTCGAATGGGAAGCAACGGTCGCGGTTGGAGGCGATTCCTCGTGTTCGGCGAGTTAACCAAAAGTAAGAAGGGCGCTGAATACGTCGCCCTCTTCGCATACTTTGCTTTTGAATGTAAGTTCACCACTGCCCTTCTTGCACACACATGTTGACCTATCTAGCTTGGCTGAGCACTCTTTTTGCCGACGGCCCACGACAAGTCGTTAACGCTATTACCCTATACTCAGTGATGCAAATGGACCTTCTTCCCGGAGGCAGCAACACAACCGACGAGGGCGGGTCCGGAGCTTCGCAATTCTTTGACAACATGAAGGTGCTGGCGGAGGATAACACCGAACGTGCGGTTGTCCTGATCGGAATGCTATTTACCTTGGTCATATGGGTCTTGTCAATGCTCAAATTGATCCTGGCTGTCGTACTCTACCTTATCTTTCTCTTCCACCATATCCCTTCGGAGGATGGGTCATTGAAGGCTTATTGCAAACGAAAAATTAACAGCCGGCTCACTCGTATTGTCCGGAGGAAAGTCAACAAAGCTTTGGCTAAAGGCGTGGCCTTGCAAGATCGGAAACCGACCAATCCAAACATGGGTCTAGACAAACGGCCTACTCTTCCCTCACTGGGTGCTGGCGATGATGACAAGACACCTGTTGTCACCACGATCTCGCGCACTACCACACAAACCACTCTCCCGGCTTACTCTTCACGTCCTGGGACAGCTGCTCCGGATCGCAATCCCACCTTGCCAGATGTTGGCGCATTCAATGATAAACCTGGATTGAGCCGAACAATGACCGAATCTTCAGCATATTCCGATGCGGCTTCGTTGTCAGGAAGCACCGCGGTGTCAGCGTACAGCCCACTGGATCGACATGGTACGCCGGCGCCACCAGTGCCACCAGTGCCACCACTTCCGAAGCACGGCCCTGCCCCGATGCCACGCTCCCAGACTCCAAGGATGCCACAGAATTTTAACCAAGCGCCTGCGCAACCGGGATACAATAGTCCAATGGAGCGGTCATCACCGGCGCCATCTATGCCGCGCACCCAGACACCGATGTCACGTTCAGAATTCACCCCAGCGCCTCGTCTGCCCGGTCAGCAGCCGGGACCCGTACCGCGTTTGCAGACTCCAGTATCGCGGCAAGGGTTTACACCCACACCTTCAGCTCCTGGATACGGCCCGATTGACAGGGCGTCGCCAGCGCCACAAATGCCACGAACACAAACACCCGTTTCAAACTACACCTCAGGCCCAGGGTACAGCCAGGTTGACCATGCCTCGCCGGCACCGCAAGTTTTCCGCAACCAAACACCCGTGTCACGTTCCAATTTTACACCAGCTCCTGGATATGGGCCAAACGTCCCCGGAACACGAGGTCCTGGCGAAGGGTACAGGCCATTTGAAACATACCAACCTCAACACGATCCTTATGGTCCTCCATCTAGCACTCCTTTCCGTCCATACAGTCCGGCAATTGATCCAAACACTCGTTCTCTAACTCCCGCGTCTGCCTTCCCTGGTGAAAGAGCAGCAGCCCGAACATTCTCACCCTTCAACCAGCCTGGCGCAGCTCCCTATCCAGCTCAAGAAAACGAATACCCGCTACGGTCGTTCAGTCCTGCTACTTCTAATGGCCTTCGCTCACAAGACGCTGCCCCCGCCGACGCACTGGGCAGGACGTTCTCACCAGTCAATGCAGCCAATGGAGACGGCTATGTGGCGTTTAGTCCTGTAGCCAATGCGTCACCCTCGCCTTTTGCTAGCCACGCCATTTCCGCACACGATGGATACAGCCATGAATCCAGCTATGATCATCCGGAACCTCAGGACTATGACATGCCACACAGCTCCTATAACTCACATGAAGAGCCTGGGAGTGGTTATGTGGCATTCAGTCCTGCAGCCAATGCGCCGCGCTCGCCCTTTGCTGGCGACGCAATTTCGGCACACCACGAAGCCAACCATGAACATCTAGATCACCTGGACCATGCCATGCCACATGACTATAGCTCGCACGAAGAGCCTGAGAGTGGCTATGCTGCATTCAATCCCGCTGCTAAACTATCGTCCTCCGACCTAAACCATGCTTCTCCATTCGAAGATCATGACGAATCGCATATCGATGCCGCCCATGAGTCCACAGGAAGACCAATTTCGGAGTCCCACGACACGTCGCAACAGAATCATAACTATGTTGCTTACACACCTTCCGCTGGAAATGAGGCCCCTCTCGAGGGACATGCTGAGCCGCATGAGAACGTCGAAATGCATACCGGCGCTGACGTGGCGGACAACTCGTACGAACACCGTGTGTCCCACTACAACCATGATAATCCTACCACTTCGTCCAGGAAGTCGTCCGAGTCCGAAACTTCTTCACAAGGACACCACGAACACGCGACTGCAGAGCAGATGCATGGATTAGAGGTCAGGCCTGTTTCTCCGCTGAGCTTGGGCGACTTGACGCATGCCAATGATGGCTTTGCAACTTTCCACCCCTCCGTCACCTCGCCTACGCGAACTGAGACCGAACATAATTCAAATTACCACACACAAACAAGTGCGACTGTCGAGAACCCATTTGAGAACTCCAACCGCCAAGAAACAAGACCCTCAGAAGGGTACAGGGCCTTTAGTCCTTCCGTGAGATCACCCGCTACACCCACGCTTCCAAACATCGCGCCATATGAACATCATGGCCAATCACCAGCAAGGACAATGTCCCCTCAAGGCGAGACTTCACACGTGAAGCCATATCGGCCGGATTACATCTAAGTTATTCTCTTTCGTTCACTAGCTGGACTTCTTCATGATAGTAGGAGAGCTGGCTGTACTTTCTGTTACGATTGCATTCTACCAACGAGCAAATGCTCACGAGTTGTTAAATACCCTTTGTTTCCCCAATCTTCATGTTCTTAACGTCTTGTATCTCCAGTTGGGTACTCTAATCAGAGACCACCCAGGAGATTTTCTTCAAGCCTATGGCTAATTGACTTTGTACATACCCAGATGAGTTATCTCACATACAATGTTAACTCACTTACCCATCTGAATCACAACCAAAGTAAACAAGTAGATTCCATTACACAACCCACCACAACCCCATGCCAACCAAACCTACATACATACATACATCCCCTCCCAACCCCACAAAGTAGAATCTACCTCCACGTATCAACCACCGTCTCCCCACTCCCACACTCCGGCACAGTATACTCCCTATTCGGATCACTTTCCCAAGTCACACTCCCATCCTCCTCGACCTTAATAAACTTATACTCGAAGGTCGTCCCCACCGGCAACGACACAGTAACATACCATTCAGGATTACTCGAGGTATAATCATCCGCAGACAACTTCACCGCATCGCTCGTATCCCACTCCCCGAGCTGGGAGATAGATCCGCTCAGGTAGATTTCTTCGCCGTAGGTGGTGGTGACTAGTTCTTCGAAGGTGATGGGGAGGGTGGTGGATGTTGCGGTGCATGATGATGAAGTAGTAGTAGAAGAAGAGGAGGTGGCTTTGGATGTGGATGTGGAGGTAGCTGCAGTTGTGGTTGTGCTACCACTTCCCCCGCAAAGCGAAGAACTATCAACCACCGAAGCAGGCAGAAGAACCCTGGGTAATCCCGAAGCCATCGGAACAGGGATATCCCCGTTCGAGTCCACCGTCACAGACGTGCATGTGTACGCTTCGATGAGCTCCGTGCCGGACGTGTAGCCACTTCCGCTGAGGGAGAGGGTGTAGCTGCTTCCGGAGGAGCCTTTGTTTGAGAGGACGGTGATGACCTGGCTGCCTGAGGTGCCTTTGCGCATGGCGATGGTGTTGCTGTCTGTGTAGATTGGGTCGTTCTATTGCAGTTTTAGATTTGTGTTAGAATGGGAGTTGAGTTGTGGGTGGGGGAGGGGAAAGGGCATACCGCGTAAGTAATGTAGTCTGAGTCCGCTGAGATAGCTAGTTTGCGGATCGCGTTCGTGGTAGCTATCCAGGTGTAGAGCTCCGCGGAGGTATCGTAGCCTGATAGCCAGGTCGCTTCGCGGTTGTAGGGCACGTCGCCGCCGGAGTAGTGCTGCTCTTCGCCGGCGTAGACGATGGGGATGCCGTCGGAGAGGAAGATGTAGCTGAGGACGTTTTTGGCTTGGGAGTAGTCGGATGTGTAGCTTCGCTTCGTTAGTAGGGGTTATTGTGAAAGGGGAGAGGGAGGGAAGGAAAGGGACATACGAGGCGAAACGGGGATTGTCGTGGTTCTCGATAAAGTTGCCGAGGAGCGTCGGATCGGAGCAGTCGCTGGCGACGGACTTGATCATGTTGTAGAGGTCGCTGATGCTGCCGCTGGAGGATTCAAAGGCGTAGAGAAGTTGCCAGTAGCTGCTTGAGTTAGTGATGGTTTGGAAAAGGTCGAAAAGGGGGGATGTACATGGGGTAGTTGAGAACGCCATCTAGATAGTCTTGGTATGGGCAGTCGAGAGCAGGGTTGCCGTTGTCGACTTCACCGACGCAGTAGACTCCTGCTGCTTCTTGGTAGCCCGGGAAGAAGTCTGGTTCGACTTCGAGGACACTGTCGATGCGGAGGCCGTCGACTGAGGTTTTATTAGTATGTGGCTTGGGTTTTTTTTTGGTTTGGGGTCGCACCTGAGTAATTGGATACAAGGTCGGCTACCCAGTCATACCAGATTGTTCTCACGGCGGTTTCGGTGGTGTTCAAGTCGGGCAGAGACACGATGGTGTCACCCTCCCAACAATCTTGAACCATGGTCAAATTGTCCCAATCCGTGATGAGGCAGTATGGGTGGAAGTAGGAAGAGGAGTCGAAGGGGTCGAAGACGCTGTAATCCACATCGTTGCCGTTGCCTGCGTAGCCCTGGTACAGTCATCGTCAGTATTAAGTTGACTGATATAGAGGTAAAGCAGCACTTACCATGTGGTTGGGAACAACATCGACCATGAGGTACATACCACGGGCGTGAAGAGCATCCGAGAGGGACTTCAGGTCATCGGCAGTGCCGAAGTTGGAGTTCACATCGTATCTGCCAAGTCAGCTGCAGTCTGCAAGTAAGCATACAATATGGATACAATGAGAGCATACATCTTCTGCTGCCAGTATCCATGGTAGGCTTCACCGTCCGAAGTATCCTGGGGCAGCTGCTCAGTGATAGGCGAGATCCAGATAGCTGTGAATCCCATGCCCTGGATATAGTCCAGCTGCAGCAGTAGTCAGAAGCGCCTAGCTTAGATGGGATGAATTGAGATACAAACATGGTTGATGATTCCTTGCCAACTTCCGCCACAATAGATCTATCCCAGTCAGTATATAAATATGAAAGAACTGCAATACCATACTTGGTCACCCGTATCGCACGTAGCTGTAGTCGAATTGTCCGCCCTACCGAACCGATCCGTCAAAAGGAAGTAGATGGATTGAGTGCGCCATTCTGCAGCTGAAAGCCCAAGGGCCAGCTTCCCAAGGAGGGACACAGAAAGGGCAAGGGTTGGAGTCGACACCCTCATAGCTGTGTATTAATGTCCGACGAAGCGACAGAAAGTGTCCCAAGCACAGCCTGACTATCCGAGAACTCTGTTCCCGATAACCATTCTTAAATATTCCCTTCAGCATGGCCCCAATTCCCTGAGCACCTTGCAAGGCAGATCAACCCACCTACTACCTTTCTGATCACATCTGATGCTTGATGGATGCCAAGTGAAGCCGGCAATTAATCCATCAGCCAGGAACGGGCGTATACACAGTCTCTCATTGGTCAGAACTCCGATCAGTTCGGGGGCCAGGATTTAACCCTGGTCCCCTTAATTGTTGCAGAACAACAAATCTCCGACACGGACTACTCACTGTTAGCTAAATACGCCCCCTTAATGGGAGAAAGAATCAAGGCCAAACCTTGTTCTGACTCGTGGAGGATGCGACGGATTTCTCGGGCGGTGATATGCCGGGTGAACAGGGTAAGCTGCAGGTTACCCGTTAGGGCGCCTCGCTTGGCGAAGCGAGATGAATTCCTGCAGACTACCCGGGTCGACGCCATAGGGCCCTATGGGTGCGGAGAAGATAGATTAAACTTGTATGTACGAAAAGTCAAAGCCCGTCCCATGTTGCACTCGAGCTGCAAGGTGATGGAGCGTTCAGCGGGATATCCTGGCCGGTGGCTTAAGCGGACAGTATTATTTACCGCATGCCCAGGCCGAGAAACTATATTAACCGAAAGCTCGCGTGATTGTGAATATCACATGCATTTATTTCAAAGAGCCGTTCGCTGATTCCAGTCACCCATCCGACCGGAGTAGGGCCTCAGCGCATCCCATACTGCTTGCGAGACTGCGGGAGAGATACGCGCGGCTTGGCTGAAGCGCTGACACATGCGCGATTTATAGTTCAGAACTTAATCAAAAGAAAGGTTATATTGCAGAAATAGTTGTCTATAATTCTTCTTCTATCGAATGCCAGCCTCGATGAAGCAAATTGCAGCTCTCGGATATTCCCTGCCGTGGTTATTACAACTGGTGTTTTCGGACCGTCCATGCAAGGATCGATCCTAGAAGTGAAAGGACGAGGGAAAATACTAGCAAATTGTCAATAAGGAGGTATGGGGAATATACCAAATTATACAACTTACGATAAGTGTAGCGGAGACCAGCCACATATCCTTTTACCACTACATCTCGGACATGACCCTGCAAGCCATTGATATAGCTCGTATCGGACAGTGCGCGCTCGATGATCTTCGAAAACCGTCAGTAAATACCTGCAGAAAGGAGAGGAGATACACACCTTCTTGGCCCCCGGGCCAGTCAGATGCTGTTCCATCTGGCGCTTGAAAACAGTCCCCAGCAGACTGTTGGTGACAGTCACACCAGCCGTCATGGCGAAGCTGAAGAGTAGGAAATACCCTCCTGTCGCCATGGCCACTTCCTGCGGCATCAAAAACGCCGTCATACTGACGAAAGCAGCCGCCGAGCAGAAACCAGTACCCATACCACCGGGAATAATGTACAAAGACTCCCAGAATCCAGTGTGACCGTTCCAACGGAGGAAAAGGAGTAGATAGGCGATAGACGCAACGAGACCGGCAAGAATCAAGAGGACCTTGAACTGGCCGGTTCGACGAATGAAGGCTCCAGCGATCAAACCTCCAAGCGTGTTCCCGATCACGGCGGGAACTAGATGCCCTCCAGCTACGGTGGCTGAGGCTTTCGATGTCACCTGAAAATATAGCGGCACGGAGAACATCATTCCAACTTGGGCGGTGATCTGCAGCGATCCGATCAGATAACTGGGCGTCACATTCGGCTTCCGCAGCATGCGAAGTTCGAAGATCGGCTCGGGGGCTACGTAGAGTTCAACAAGAACGAAGGCGACGAATGCTGACAGACTGAGAGTTGCGAGGATCGCCGTCGACAGTGATGCCCATGCGAAGGACTGTCCCGCTTGGTCCATAATAACTGTGATTGTGATAATACCAGTGGCGAGAAGAAACGTTCCAAGAAAGTCGACACGGCGGATGCTCTTCTCAGTGACTGGATGGGCAAGCTTGAGTTTCCATACCACCAACAAAGCTGCCATAGCGGCCAAGGGCCCCTGGATTATAAACGACCTTAACCGCAAGTTAGCGAGAGAAGCGGCTACAGAGGCGCAAAGCATACCATCTCCATCCGATTGTATCGGTTAGCCATCCGCCCACTGGGCCTCCTGCGCTACGACCCAGAGTCATTGCGATGTTGATGTACGCCCGCCAATGGGCAACATCCCGTCGGGGAACAATATCTGCCCAGGTTCAGTGACGTTCATCAAGCTAGTAGCGGATAGCCTACCTGTGATAATGATAGATCCCATCGCCATTATTCCAGCGCCCCCAATTCCGCTGATTGCACGTCCCAAAATGACAGTTGCCATATCCGGACCAATGCCGCTAGGGAACCAGCTGTCAGCACGATCCAGAAAGCCAAGGTCAAAATGAAGTAGCCTACCTGATAACACATCCCACGCCGAAGAGAAAATACGCCCAAAGTAGCAGTGGCTTGCGACCGTAGATGTCACTCAGCTTCCCGTACTATATTGTCACCGTCAGTATATCCCGACCTTCCCAGACATTGTGTGATAGCTGACCATCGGTTGAGCAGCGCATAATCCCAAGGTGTACGCCGTTGACAGCCAACTCGCATCGCGCAGTCGATTGAACTCGGAAGAGATTCTGCCTGTTGCCGCCATGACTAGTGTTGCGTCCGCGTTGGAGATGAATTCACCTAGACGATGGTCAGTCTGACTGAGAAGAAAGCCTAACAAGACGGTGAACCCAAAATACCCAGCAACAACACGCCAATCACGGTACTTATACTGGTCAAAGCCGTCACATTTTTCCCAGGCGACTCGGGTGGATTGATCAACGGCTGTTCCTCATCGCTACCATGGCTGCTGTGCACGTCGCTAGTGAGCCCTTTTGTTATGCTGCTGTAGTCCGTGGTGTTTGCGCTAGGAGTCGCATGCTGCGCCGAAGTATTCAGGGGTGTTCTTTCATCGATGTTCGCGTCCAGCGGATCTGGACTAGAAGCTGAGACGGCCATTATATCCGGGATCTCTGGCGTGTTCGAGGAGGGGTGTTGAGAACGTCACAAAGCCGGGAGATGAAACCTTGCGTCGGCAGCATGAAAGATCGGTGAGAGATAGAGTTACGGGCAGCAGGAGCTGATATGTTTTCTTTTCCCGGACCCTGCTTCGGCTGCGGGAAAAGAAATAATCTGTCCACGCAGTCATCCATTCCGATATTTCCGCTTATCTGGGGAATCTGGACCCTCCAGGAGCGAGTTCGATGCATCAGTATTGGCTGGTGACAGTGTCACTCAGAGAATAAGCGATGACACCATCGGGGGCAGATATACGATCGAGGGCTGCTAAACCGCATCAGGGAAAGCGAGTGCACGGATGGGTCAAGAGACTGGGGCCATTATAGGGGAAGAAGCAGAAGCGCAAATGAAGTGGTGGAAGAACCAAAGTTGAGCTCATTGAAGTGGAGCAGCACGCCATGGCTGCTCCCGATGGCGAACCCATGGTGGGTGGGTGGCCTTAGCGCCTTGGGGGTCAGGGACACCCGACATTCGGCTGTCAGTCATTCAACTCGACCTTGGAAGCATGTCAAAACAAGGTTATAAGCTTGAATATGAGAAGAAGTAAGTAATTGTCCGGAAACCCCGGGGAAAGTTGGAGGTGCGACCGATGGCGACATTTCGCTCTGATCACGTGAGTATATGTGCTACCAGATTATCCACTGAAGCATTTTACCCTACCTTATTGATTAGTATCGCTAAATGATGGTCTCTTTGGCTTGTGCTATCGCATCTGTACCAAAGGAGCTTTGTCAAGGTTATCCTGGAATGGAATGTCACGTCAATGCATTTCTCGCTGCATACCCCTAGTTTACTCTCATCAGCCGGTCCGCGCTTATACCAAAGTGAGGTGGTCTGTGACCTCCTCATGCGTGTCATTATCAGCAAATAAAGAACGACCTGAAACCAGATTTGATGCCATATTACAGCCTTATCATTTACAGGCTCTATATTGGTTGTTAAAAAGTATTTTCGTAAGACCAAGCCGATTTGTTGGCTGGGACGAGCTCTCTAGTTTGGCCGTAGTCACCTTCCCTAGTAGAAGAGAATCGACTAAGCAAATCATTCATCATGACAAACTGCTTTATTGGTAACACCCAATAAGCTCGTCTGCGACAGTTCAGCTGGATCAGTTCGACATACCTTGCCCAGACCTGGAAGAAAAAAGTTCGATAACATTGAGTTATAGTCCACATTGCATTTGCTGGATCGTCTACCGAGATTCTGACTTGGCCAGGTTGTTGATCTGTCCCCTTATCTGTTTCGGGTGGAGAAACCTTATCTCTTCATAGATACTCGTGACTTCAGCTGGACTTTCAAAGAACATAAGTCCATAAAGCAGGATGACGGCAACGCTATAGGCTCGCAGCCCATGGGCCCCGGATGGGAGGTGATATACGGTCCGTTAAGTGAAAAGTAGATCCAGAACATCATCCACTAAGGATGATGGGCAGAGGCACTATAGCTGAGAAATGGTATAATATTGTAATGTACTCAATTGAGTCCTTGGACAACATGAGAGTTATTGAAGAGGAGTTCCTAGACGTATCGCTTAACGGAGTCCATGAGCTGTTGGTCGTAGCATTCGAGAAACAAAATGGCGCTGAGTCAGTGCTCTCAAAATCTTGCCAGGAACCTCTGAAAGAACCGTCTGTGGCATGTGCATGATAAACCGACTTATGGCCAAGGCGATGCCCAGATGCTCGTCGATCTCTGGAGCGTAACAGATGGATCTCTGATTCGGATTTTGTGCAGGGAGTTGACCCACCCAGTACCCGCCAGCTTGTTATACGTATTGGGTGCTGACGCAGCAGTTATTAGTAGGCAGTGTTAACTAACTATAGCCTGTTTCCGTTGACACAAGGAGATAGGCTAGTCTATTTATGACTTCACAGGGTGTCATCTGCTTGGGATTCAACGAAGCTGCTATGCAACATCTTGGATTGACTGGCGAAAGACGATGGACGGCGTGGAGGGCGGGCGCCTCAGGCGACCAGATGGCATTCTTGGCAGCGTCTGAGCCCACGCGTCCATCTCTTGCCTTTTTCCTTTCACCTCCAGTCCTTCAGCCGAGGTCTTTAACCTTACAACTATCAACTTCGTACGACATCCCTTCACATCCCTTCACATCCCTTCATTCACCACCTTGACTTACATCAACCTTCCCATCTCGTCTCAACATCACCTCTCATTGTAAAATGGCAGACATCACGATAACAGAGAGCGAGTTTAAACTCGCGGACGGAACCGTCCTCTACCAGAAGACCTGGTCGGTAAGGGCACACACCCTCAATCACATGTCAAACATCCCATTAAGTCACCGACATCCTAACCTTTACACCAGCCCGCTGCCCCCAAGGCCAAACTAGTACATTTTCATGGCTTCAGCGACCACATCAACAGCTACAATAACTTCTTCCCCTTGCTAGCACGCCGTGGTATCTATTGCACAGGTATCGACGAGCGTGGCTGGGGCCGATCGGCCCCGAAAAAGTCCGACCGGGGAAACACAGGGCCTACCTCCTTGGTCCTGGCTGACATGGCCGCCGTCATCAAGGACCAGCAGACCAACGTCTTCCCTGAGCTCCCCTTGTTCATCAACGGTCACTCCATGGGTGGTGGATTGGTGGCTACCCTTGCCTCGACCAAGGAGTATCAGCCGCTGGTGTCCTCACTTCGCGGGATTATGCTTTCGGCTCCGTTGATGGGTCTTACTCCCGAACAGACTCCTAGCTGGATCACGGTATTCGTGGGCCGGCTGGCAGGCAAGCTTCTACCCCGCTTTCAGCTCGTGGAGAAAATGCGGGTGGAGACGCTGGTGCGCGATCCCGCAGTGCAGAAGAGCCTTGCAGAGGACCCGTTGAACCATGCCACGGGCACACTCGAGATGTTTGCCAATATGCTGGACCGTATGATGGAGCTGGACCAGGGCAAGTTGACCCTTGTTGACGGAGTACAGTCGGTCTTCCTCGCCCACGGAACTGGGGATAACTGCACTAGTTATGATGCGAGTAAGAGATGGTTTGAGCGCGAGACGGCTCGTTTCCCTGAAACGGCGAAGATGCACAAGTCCTACGACGGATGGAGCCATGTTTTGCATGCCGATCTGCCGGAGACTTACCCTATTTATGCGGAGGATATGGCTACCTGGATCCTTGAAAAGTCTGAGGCCTAGCCACTCACTTCTTAGAAGAGGGAGTACATACCTCCATACGCGGGGCGCTGCCAATTGGCAAGTCTGAAGTGTCAGCTAGCGTCGTTCGCATAATTGTTGCATTTGCATTACCGTTGGCCGAACTTTATCATCTCGGGTCTATAGTATATATTATTTAGTACGTTTGGGTCGTGCATTCTTCGGTTGATCTTTTCTTCATTTCGGGGGTATGGTATATATCATGATTTAATGTTTTGGGCGACGGATCACTAGTGCAGCTCACCAATCCATGTCATCAGAAGTTTAGAACAAACAGCTGGAGCTGGCATGTCAAGAACTTTAAAGATCACCGAGCGGTGTAGGGCCGTGTGGCTGTGCCTGACTAGAAGACAAAGAGAGTGTAGATCCCTCTTTCACCAAAGTTTCACAACACGAAGCCAGAGACAGGCTAGCAGCAAGATCCCGTCAAAACCAAGGCGAAGGATGCCGGCTAGACTGAAAGGGGAAACGCAGACCCTTAAAAAACTGGGGCTAAAACGCTGCTTACTGCTTCTGGACAAGCTTTGGCCCCCCACGCGTCCCCTCAGCCTCGTTCAATTTCTTTCTAAAGAATGCCGCATGGTCTGGATTGTTTCCTGTCAACAATCTCAGTTGTATGATTCTTCTTCAAAATGCCCTTTCACAACCCGCTTCCCTCATCTTTGCGAAGTACGTATCGATGTTGACCTTAATGTTATGGGTTGCCCCAGCTCTACGACAATCTACAAAGGGACCATTCATTGCGTAACTCGGAACTAACAGTATTTACTTGACAATCAGGCGAATGCGAAAAAGCAGCTCAGATCATCAACTCTTTCACAGATCCCGATGGCTTCAATAGCCCGGGACGTACCATCCCACGAAAGCTACTCGCTAGTGCCAAGGTATGCATTGAATAAGTGCTCGCGTCGCCACTACCTTGACTCACATTTCAAAGGGCCTCGCCATCCTTACAGTCGCCAAAGCCGGGTTCCTAGGGTCAGTGCGCCTTGGCTCTGGTATCCTCGTTGCACGTCTACCCGACGGGTCCTGGTCCGCCCCATCAGCCATCGCGTCCGTGGGAGGTGGCTTCGGTGGACAAATCGGTGTCGAATTGACAGATTTTGTGTTCATTCTGCAGAGCGATCATGCAGTACAAACGTTTGCAAAGCTGGGAAGCCTAACTCTGGGGCTCAATGTCTCACTGGCAGTGGGACCGGTCGGGCGCAGTGGAGAGATTGCGGGCGTGGTAAGCACCGGTGGTGTCATGGGAATATTCTCATTCGCACAGACCATGGGCTTTTTTGGTGGCGTGAGTGCAGAGGGGGGCATTATTTTTGAAAACAGGCTCGCGAACCGGAAACTATATGGTGATATTGTCAAGGCACGGGAACTGCTGAGCGGCGACATCCCTCCGCCTGTCGAGGCCAACAGGCTTATGCAAGCGTTGCAATCCGATGTCTTCTCTGGTCAAAGGCCAAACCTTGATTGTGAGCAGGCATCGAAGGAGCCACCTGTGGAGATTACGAATGCCATGCCACCGCAGTCACCGTCGTCCGAGGTGGCTGAACGAGTTGCTGTGATGTCGTCTGAGGCACCTAGCGAAATTCACGAGGCACCGCCATCGGAGATCTCTCCTGTCGAGTCACCGTCAGTAGCAGTGGCACCACAGAGGCCAGTTGAGTTGCCTGGTTCGATCCAAGAGCTGGACTCCACGCCTGCACAACCCAGACCTGCGGATCAGCATAGCCCCGTTTCTGCTATCTCCACAACCCACAATAATTGATAACCTTGACCGAAACCCGGGATATGGACTCCGCAGAGACTTCATGGATAGTGTCGTCCATACATGACCGCAGCAAAGCTAGGCTGTCTCTGATGTCGGAAGCCATGAAACAAGAGCGCTCAATCATCGGAACTAGCAGACAGGGCCAGGGATTCACGTCCATCACAGCTGATTAGCGACGACTTTGCACCTGCTAATGTGCAAATATGAGAAAGGGAACTGAATGATTAGCAAGCTACAGATTCTAATACTTGGAAATTTAATGTCTATTCTACCTTTATACCACACGGGTCCTTAGTAATAATAATGTGCGTGCTGAATAATCTTCAGGGCTAAGATAGGATCCAAATACTAGCAAACCACTAATATGTCATTCGTATGGAAAGGGTAAAACATCAAACTAATTAACTAGTAATTCCGCAAGGTTTCTCTTCTAATGAATCACACTGTTGCTATTAAGGAACTAGCAACAGATAATTAACTTATTGAAAGTAATTATAGTAGAAAGCATTAATTGGACTTATTTATGAAACAATACATCGTTTCTATGATTATCTGGATTATTTTCTATCTCTTCCTAGTCAGTATTACTTTGTGCTATTGAAAGTAGGACGTGAAGATCAACCCGGAATCACGAGATCAAATATATTTTCTTCTGTTGGTACTATTAAGTAGGCATGGACCAGTATTTATTGTTTATTCAGGAATGGACTTACTCGTATTAAAATTATAAAAGAATAGAATGAATAGCTACCTCTCCTGATATAGCACCAGAAATATCTTCAATACAATTTGGCTGGTGGTGATAAGATCCCGCTACAGCTTCTTAATGACTAAAGCCGGGATGAGCCAATCATTACCAGGGTGTTACTTCCATGACATTCGCACCTCTAAAAAATAGAATAAAAGTATGACAGCAAGGATTGCGAGGCTCAAGTCGAAATCCAGAAACACATCTTGGTTGGTCGGGGTAGTCCAATAGAATTTACGGGCGATGTTACTTTGTCCCACCTACGGGTATCACACCGTTTCACCAACCCTACCCGGCGCAACATGCCGATTCGATGTCCTGGTTGCAACGTGCCAATGTAGCTGGGATAGCCGCCCCTAATTATGGTAGTGTAGAGCTAGGTTTATTCAGTGACTGTGAACAAAGAAATTTCGGTTTCTTCCCGTCCCGTTGGTTGGGATGCGATGCGTTTCGCGTCTGCTGGTTCTCTTTATCTCTCATTCTCTTACCTCAACATCTCGCACTCCCCTCTACAATCCGGGGCGGATATTACTGGAATGCATATTGTACCGATTATGTCGATTCACGTTTAGAGGTCATGCCAGATACTACCTACCTTTTCTCATAGCCAGGTTAATCACATGACGTATTGATACACCACCACGTGAGGTTTATTTCCTGCCAGTGCTGGATGATTTCTTTGATAGGGGGTAAAGTAACACTATCAATCGACTACGCAGTAGCTTCCATTAACATATCATTCACCGTTCAGGTCGCGTTAACTGCCGATCGGTGAGGAAGCTGGCAGACGCAAACGTCGTGATCAGAACTTCCAAAGATCACCAGGATTAGACTCTTCTCCTTACAAAGATCAGCAGCCTCTGTATATCTCTCAATCAGTACTTCATTACCATGGGCTCTATTGCAAAGGAAACCCTGTATCTCCCGATTGTTGTGGTGGACGAGATCCTCGAGTATCTCGATCTGGATACTATCAAATCCCTCCGCTTAACCGACAGAACATGGAGTCAACTATGCCTGGGCCCACGCTTCAAATCATTTGTGCGCCACCAATCTACTGATCTGACTGCACGGAGCCTGGAGTCTCTCAACGCTCTTTCCTGTCATGACATCCTGCGCCCAGCTGTGAAATATTTGACTATAGTCGCAGCAGTCTACGACAGTTTTCTCCTCGAGAAGGTTCTCAGAACTAGTCGATGCGAAGATGAGGATAGTACTCCCTGGATAACAGCAAGAGATTGTACACTGGATGAGGTGGTCCAAGCAGAGGCAGATCTAGCATGGTTGGAGGAAGAGTCTGCGAGACACCAGCTCGCCCATGAAGATTTCGCAGTGCCGACTCTGACAGCCATATTAAACAATTTTGGAATGCTTAACTTCATCGCTATGGAAGCCAAAGTGACTTATTCCCCACGGCAAGATTTATTCAGGTCCCGAGGTGACTGGCATGCTGTTTGGTGCAAAGCAACCCAGGTCTATCACATAGCCATGTCTGCTATTGCAAAAAGCACCATCGAACTCAATAGCCTCACGATATTTAAGAGCCCAATACGCTCAGCCATTCCAACCAACGAAATAACCGCCCATATGCTTACCCTCGACACAGCCGCTTGTCACTTTACCTCGGGTCAGTCGATCAAGAACTTTTCAATAGATCTATCAACGCGAGTAGATGCCAATACAGAGAGGCTATCGAAACGGAAAGCTGAAATGGAAAGATGGGAGCGTGAAACCCGTCGAAGCTGGCATGGACTCAGGCCGGGGGCTCTTCTTGCGAGTCATGATCCCGAAGTGAACTTTGAGAACAACTATCCTGGCGTCGCTCGATTACTGCAGAACATGCCAAACCTAGAAACCTTGACCCTTAGACTTCGTTGTACAGTGATTGGGGATGTAAGCCTATACCATCGGCTGTTTGAAAACATTGCTAGCAAGGTCCGTCTTCCACGGCTGAGGAGACTCCATCTGCTCGGTATCTACGCCACTTCAGACTCCCTGCTAGAATTCCTACGCAACCATCCTGATATCGAAATCCTGTGGCTCGAGAAAGTGAACCTTGTCTCTGGGTTATGGGAGCCTGTCTTCACGCAAATCAGGAAGATGCCGTCTTTGACCAAGGTTGTTTTGGCGAGTGTTTCCGAGGCAGGCCAGACTTTGAATCTAAAACCAGCCGAAGACAATGACGACCGCAGTGACCCGAGCAATACAGATTACTATTTGTGTACAAGGGGTGTCTTTGTTCACAGACGTGAATTTGATGCATGTGACATCCAGAAGGGATTTCAATTCAACACAGAGTATCAGGGTGCACCGCAGGGAACACATGGATTCACTTCATTTCTTGTATTTGACCAGGAACATTATGGACTTCCTTAGTTAGGCTTTACTGCTTCTACGGTTTCATCCTGTATGCACACACCCAAGCAATTCAATCTTTCATCTTGCTTTAAAACTCTTCGATTGATCCTCCTTCTGCACTTCCTTTATCGCTAACCTTAGGGAGTCCTTGACTGTAGTGTAACCACATGGCACCACGTACTGATTGGCTCCCAGCCAGTATCTTCCCAATAAAAACGGTTTCAGAACTAGGCGATACAGTACTAGCTCGGAAAGCTTGTATGAGCCAAAAAGACAAAAAAAAAAAAAAATCGGGCCCGAACCGCGATTCGAACGCGGGGCCTCCTGCATTTCAAATCCCGAAGCAGGAATCATACCACTAGACCATCCGGGCTGATTTGAAAATTTATAAGCTGGATGTGCTTTATACGCAGAGGAAGGAAATAGTAAGCCAGTTACCACAGAAGCTGTCTGGAAGCGACAGACAAAACCGGGTAAGACAAGAAATGTAGGTTTTCTAGCCTGGACAAACCCTAATTAACTATCACCCTGGCTAAGGGTAAAATGGCAAGCAAGGCATTTCTTGTTAGTCATACGTGCAAATTGTAACATTATGTTCACGATATGCACATCACGATGTCAGAATATACTCTCAACTACAACAGCTACATCCTTTCCCTAGTCGAGCATAGTGTGATGAAAAGTACCGGTCAAGGTGACGTTCCAAATGACCCTTACATCCTGCAAATATTTCCTGATTCTATTCTACATGATGCTGGAATGATCTGGTAGAGTGTGCATCATGCCATTGGGGTTGTAGGTTGGGGACCAATTCACGTCTCGCGGCAATATGAGACATTCACCAAAGCTACAACCGGAGATTAACTACACTCCAATAGCTATTTTCAACCAATCCTTTTCGCTCGCAAACTTGAGTTAACTCGAGCCCTAATTAACCCTCAACAAATGCATGAATATCGTTATATCCAGTGATATTCACGGCTTCCCCTGTGCGTAGCTGTCGCTCATACCTATAAGCCAGTGCTACGATCGGCACATACCATCTACATCTACCCAGTGTGCCTGGCGATTACACTCTGAAAGATAAGCCAGCTGTGCAAAAATCAGAGAATGCTTGGACATATAACCCCAGACGGGGTCTGCGACCGACCTCTGCAGACTTCGCTACCTTGAAACATCTTCCTGAAGTTGTTCTCAGCCAAGATCGTCGCCTGCAGAGTTCAAGTTCTAACTACGACGACTTCATCCCTACCTCCAACATGGAATCCTCTTCTTCTGCAGCAATGACCCCGGAGTCTAACGTCTCCTCCTCCTGTTCAACCAATGATACACTGTCGTCAGCAATGTCGAAACTATCAATGGAGGAAAAGAAGGGTCAGAGTACTTCGAAAGCCCTGAGCCAGGAAGACTTACTAAAGAGACTTCAGGCGAGATGCCACTCACCGGCTCGTCTCAGAACCGAGGGCTTGGTCACAACTCCATGTCCAAAATCAGACAATCCCCAATGGAAGGGGATAATCCGCTTGGACCTGTTCAAGCGCACACTGGGTGGCCATAATCATCACCATAAGGGCAAACCTGGCAATCGCACAGCCAGAGACGCAGTGGTCATTGACTGCGAAATGGTGCAAGCAGAGAAAGGACGGCGAGTTATCGCCTATCTCGCTGCCGTGGACTTTCTAACCGGTGAAGTCCTCGTCGACAGTTACGTTGATCCCCAGAGGAAAATATTCAACTGGTGTACTCGCTACAGTGGGATCACCTTTAGAGCTATGAAGAAGGCCAAAGCTAACGGCGACGCTTTGCGTGGGTGGATGGGGGCGAGACGCGCCCTGTGGGACTATATTGATAGTGATACCGTGCTTATTGGGCACGATATAAAGAATGATTTGAACTGCCTCGGGATGATCCATTCCAAAATAGTCGACTCGACTATCCTAACGGCAGAAGCTGTGTTTAGGCCGAGATGGGAAACCCAGCGATTTAGGAGGACTTGGTCGTTGAAGACCCTGTCGAGGGTGTTCCTCGATAGGTCTATCCAAGATGGTTCTAAAGGGCACAGTGCGCTGCAGGATGCTGTTGCCACGAAAGATATCATTATTTTCTGCCTCGAACAGCCTGAATACTTGAAGAAATGGGCGGAGTTCGCAAAAGGAGGATGGGAGGATATTCCCGATGACTTTGAGACACTGAAATCTATTGTCGATGATGGTCTCCAAATCTCGGATTACCTATGAGGTAGACTTATCTACTATAGATTCTACTTCTGCGGTACGAGAAACTGCTATGGTTGATGTTGCTATGATGCATGGTATATGTAACAAGATTGGTCAGATTTGCATGCGTCCTTCTGACTAGGGTCTCATCTAATACCTCTTTTGGGTATTGTGCGGCGCATGCTAGAATGGTCACGAAAAGGTGTTGAAAGATATTATTTTGTGCTATGCGTCATGGACTTATTCTATTGTTGTCGACAAAAGTGATTTCCTACCGACAAAACACCAACTGGTACAATAAGCAAACGGGATAGAATTCAACGACGCAATCTTCGCTATTATCATGTTCTTGGATGGTCTAGTCAGTCTAGTCATAGCGATCCAACATATCCCTGCAACCTTCTATTATCATATCTATGACTCCCAATCTTTCGTAATGTAAAGAGTGTTAGAACATTGATCTGTGCATTCTGATATCTTTTTGGGATAATATATTCTCACGGATGAGAGCTACCATCGCCCAAACAAAAGGATCTCAGAGGATTTTGAAACGAAGAGCGGGGATAAACCCAATAAGGATAGCAAGTACGATACTTTGCATGTTGCTGATTCTGAAGTGGTATAATGATTAATATATATTCAACCTGTTTAGTGGTAATTTACTAGTCGGGCTCTGAATAACCTCGGTAAAACCTACTCAGCCGCACACACTATGGAACACGATGCATATACTAGGTGGGGCAGCTGAACTGGGAATATCCTCATACTCTCCTTGGGATATAATAAAGCTTTAGATAAAGATGTTAATACTTTACAGTACAAGATCTTTACATAGATATCCATGTGAGGCATCACGATGAAGAACTTTATACGTGTTGTTTTTATAAGCAGAATACATTTAATGTAGCCTGATTCAGAAAACAGAACCAAATCTGGCTAGTGTATAATACAGGCCAATGCAAACTTCTGACCACTGTAGTATCGCCGACTACCACCGGCGCTAGTTGCGGATAGTCCCATGTTAGAACCCTCAGCCCCGCTGCTTGTCTGCAGATACCTGTTTTCCATCACTCTCCTCAGCGGCCATGACTGACCCCAATTGCTCCATAGCAATGAATCATGCATATCTTGGGGCTGAGGGTTCTTCAGTGCCTTCTGCAAACCCCGATCACCTTTCTAAATGACTAGTTCAAAGCACAAGTGGCTCTCTACTTGTCGCTGTTCACGTAGTTTTGTAAAATACCAACCAAGTCGGAATGATTCCTTTAAACGAGACTTGCTATGTTGTACATTTTTCAAGCAGAAGCGCCTGCTTCTGATCTCACATAAATCTAGGAAGCAACAAGAAATTACGGATTATTTTGGGAGACCAGCGAGTGCGAAGCAACGTACGGATGCTAACAAGTCTAACCGAGTGTGTTCTTCAGCACCAGAATACCTGGGTTGCTAGCCACAGGAACCCCTGTCCATGTAAGATTGTTATCGGGTCCGGGGGTGGACCGTGATCCACCGAGCGATGCTGCTGTGGGAAAAGTAGCCTCTCGTACTACATTGATTGATGCAAGATTGTGATTCAACTTGCATCTAAAGTTGCCACGATTCTTCGGTATACCACGATGATGTAATTATCACGCCGAGAAAAAGAAATGTTCATGCGGAACTTCTGAACTTGCTGACCAGGAGCTAAGGTATATAAAGCCCCTGCTCTCCCAATATCTTGAGCTATCAACTCAATCAAATATCTCAAAACAGTACACTCCTCAAGCACGCATTACACAAGAACACCGAGGTCAAACCTCCCACCAACAATCATGAAGTTTCTCTCTACCCTCGTCGCCAGCACTCTGGCCCTGGCAGTCTCAGTCCAAGCTACCGACTGCACCAAAGGCATGAAGTACTGCAGTGGTGTCTTGCAAGACATCGGTAAGTTGTTCCCGTTATAAGCTCATTTTAATCAACATCTGTTAATACAGTCGACCTTGTTTAGACTACGCGAAATATTCCACCCTTATTCCGCAGGCTATAAAAGCGGCCGGCTTTGGTGATGGTGTCCCCATCTACAACTTATTTCTGTTTGCATGTGGCAGTGGTGGATCGATCACAGTTGACAGATTTTGCGCTTTTGGTTGTAACAATGCAGGTGCTGGTAACAATGATTTCTGTACTCTCTGAGTACGTCTCGTAAGGGCCTTCGGCGCGGCATCGTTTCTGTCACGGTGGTGGTGATGATGATGATGGTGATGATACAAACATCACGTGACTTGGCGAATTGCAAGCAGATGTGCACTAAGATGAAGCAGCGGGAAGTCCCATAGAGGTGAGATACTCAAATTGGAGCATCTCCTGAGAATATATGTGCACTGCATATGGTGAATAACAAACTATGAAACTGGTGAGCCAGATAGTGGATAGTGACTGCACCTAGCTAGAAATAATATGTTCGATAGCCCCGGACTCTGCCTATGAGTATCAAAGTTGCATAAAATTCCATCTTCTTAGCTGGGAAAGTCTCCAACATCTTCATCTAATCAATCGAGCCTTACACCATCGCGCTTTCGGCTCTGGGCCGAATTTGTGGAGCCGCATTCACTACTTATCGATAATTTGCCATGGATCTTATGTGTTATCACCGAAGCCGAGGCAGCTCCTCAAGGTCCGGGCTATGTATTGATGAGAGAGCGCATCTAGTAATAGCTAATGCTCCACCAACACTTTTACTACTTATTGGTCGCTTTTATTAGCTCGAGGAGTGGGGTTGATGCCCCTAGAACGAAAGGGGTATAAAGTACATCTTTGACTAATACCCTATCTCCTATGATATCAGATCATTGATGGTAGAAACCTTTATTCTGGCATGCCGACTGGGTCACCAAACTAAGAATGGATCTGCTCGTCTTCATACTTTCAAAATCTTGTCTATTCTGCAAAAGCACACACGGCGTCAAGGCGTGATGTATAGCTAAGTGCATAATGAAACACACCCTGTGAGGCTTATTTAGAATTCTGCTCCGACAAACCAATCAGAGCAGTGGATGCAGGCGAGGGCACAAATAAGCACGACAACGCAATTAACTGCGGAGAAAGTCTCGCTACGAGAATGTCTTTTCGCGACTCTTCTGAGGGCATTTGATGAGAAGGATGGCTTCTATAGAGTATGTTTCGTGGACATACTGGTAAGCCTATTCTCCAGAAGATTTATATTCCTGCCAACAGACTTGTCAGATTGATAAAGGCTTTACTTCTCAAGCGATTTGAAAGTTGCTGCGTTGAAAACTTGACTAGATGTGTATAGGCTGCCTGTTGACTCTTTCGAAAATACTATCGCTAGACTTCTCGCTAGTTCTTTGGAAATATGCAGTCCAAGTTAGACAAAATAAGCAGAGCAGTCTCCACTTTGGTACGGCGGCTCGGGCCCAGAATGCTGGGACTTGAAGGGCGGTATGAGAGCAGGCACACCAATTGTTCGGGTAGAGTTCCATGAGGAAGAGAAATTGTGCTCCCCATTGTTATCGAAAATAGCGGGTGCAACTGATAGGGTATCGAATACCCAGAAGGGGCACCTGGTGGCAAAGGGCAACGAGGGATGTTGGCTGTTCGTCGCAGGGCCAGAAGTTGGAATGCGGCTGTGTTCAGATTATGGCTTCCAAGATTCTACCTTTTTAACACAACACAAATACTGCTGGTGTGTACATTACCAGAGTAGCTTGAAACATAATGGAGCATGTGGTCATGCACACAATTTGACAGTACGATGGTGAAACGGATCAAATATAATAAGAGCGTTCTATTCTTCCGCCCTTTTGCTTCCCTTGGCTTCGTATAATACCGCTATTGTACATTTCTCCCCTTGGTGGTTGTGCTAGAACAAGCCGATTTCATATTTGACCAGACTATGGTCAAGTCACATTTGCCATTACACCGTGGCTTCTTCACTCCTCCAGCCAAGTAACGGAGATGGCAACGATCAACCGGCGCTTTGACCCTACATCTTCCCCGTCTGACTTCCAACGTTGCCAATGTTAAATCTTATCATCCGAGACATCTCCTGAGATACAATCAACGTCACCAAATTTGTAGTCTGTATTTAATCCAAATCCCGGCATTTCCGTTCAAGCTGAGCAAACTAACGCCACCCAAGGGGGAGGGCTGAATACCGGCATCCCTGCCACCAATGGCATGTCCAGGGATAATAATACCGAGGCCGTTGTTCCACTTCAGCTGCAGTAGCTCAGTACGCTATCACGATGGTGGCGCATCTGCACCCCTTCCAGCCAATCCCTTTCTGCAGGATTGTGTTGGAATATGCAGCAGCAGGAAATACTAGCTGCTGGTGTCCCCGATTTCCCCGCCCGGTTGCCCTGCTTTGCCTCCAGCTTCAGCCATCGCTGCAGACACATGTTCTCAATGCCTCTCCCACATCGTAGTTCTTTTCTATTCTTTCTCACTGGCTTTCATAGCTTTGGACGGCAACCATGTTGTCCATAGTTAGCCTTCTTGTCGGATTCGCGTCCATCTACTTTCTCTATGTCTTTCTTGGACCAAAGAAGGCATCTGCACCACTGCCCCCAGGGCCTCCTCCAAAACCCATTATCGGCAATATTAAGGACCTTCCGCCGCCCGGTTCTAAGGACTGGCAGCATTGGTTGGATCATAAGGAGAAATATGGTATATCTCCATCACTCATTTCCATGAAAGGGCGTCATCGTTCATACTGATTTTGTACTCCAGGCCCAATCAGCTCCATCACTGTCTTTGGACAGACTCTTATTGTCCTAAACGATCCCGACATGGCTCTTGAGATGTTGGAAAAGCGTTCTGCAAAACACTCTTCCCGACCCCATCTTCCCATCGCAGATTTGTTAGTCCTACAGACTGGAATTGCTCTTCAGCAGAGACATAAAATACTAATCATCAATCTTAGATCTGGATGGGACAAGACACTTGGTCTTCTCCCCTACAACAACCGATTTCGCGCCTACCGAAAAGCCACGTACCGTGAACTCGGGTCTGCCAATGCAGCAGGTAAATTCGATGGAATCGTCGATAAAGAAGTTACTCGGTTCCTTCTGCGCGTGATACAATCACCGAATAACTTGGTTGATCATCTTCGCAAGTACGTTGTGTGACCTGCCAGATATTTGCGTTATGCCTAATCGTCTCATAGAGAGTCCGGAGCGATCATCCTGCGGATTGGATACGGATATACTATCGAACCACATGCGAGAGATCCTCTAGTTGACTTGGTCGACAAGGCCATGGACGACTTCTCTCAAGTCGTTCTCCCAGGTGCTTGGCTGGTTAATTTCGTTCCTTTCCGTTAGTCTGCCAGTATCCCTTGAATGACTTAGACGTTAACTTTCGCAGTAAAATACCTCCCCACCTGGTTCCCTGGAGGAAAGGAAAACCAGACAGCCAAGGAATACAAGGACAGACTGGCCATCATGCACGACAAGACATACGACTTCGTAAAGAACCAAATGGCAAAGGGTACACATCAGCCATCGTATGTTTCCAGTCTGCTTGAAAAAGACACTGTTCTTCCAGGATCGGAAGAGGAAATCGTTGTCAAGTATTCTGCTGGAGCTTTATACGGAGGTGGTGCTGATACGGTGCGTCTCGATCCTCCAAAAATCACCATATCTCCGCTAACCACGCATAGACTGTCTCCGCTTTATCGTGCTTCTTCATGGCCATGGCCCTCAACCCGACCGTCCAGAAGAAGGCCCAAGAAGAAATCGACCGGGTCGTAGGAACCTCCCGACTCCCTGACCTCTCCGACCAGAATAAACTTCCCTACGTCAACGCCGTATTCCAAGAAGTGTTCAGATGGCACCCCGTCACCCCCCTCAGCGTAACCCACGCCTCTAGTGAGGAAGACATCTTCAACGGCTATCTTATTCCCAAGGGCGCTATTATCGTCCCCAACGTCTGGTACGTATCCCTCCCCCCTTCCATCCTCTCAACTCAAGCCTAACCCAAAACAGGGCCTTCACCCACGACCCAACCAACTACCACAACCCCGAAGCATTCAACCCCGATCGCTTCCTCGGCGCCACCCCTGAGCCAGACCCCCGACTCTACGCCTTCGGATTCGGCCGCCGCATCTGTCCCGGTCGCTTGCTCGCCGAGAAGAGCATTTTTCTCACTGTGGCACGCGCACTGGCGGTATTGGATATTCGAAAGAAGGTACGAGATGGTAAGGAAGTGCCTATCCGTGTGGAGTTCTCCTCAGGGACCATTAGCCATCCTGTTCCGTTCGAGGTGGATCTGAAGCCGAGGAGTAAGGGGCATGAGGAGTTGGTCAGGGCCGTGGAGAGGGAGTTTCCGTGGGAGGCGAGTCATGCGAAGGAGTTGGGGATTTGAGGGCATGTAGAGATGGAATGCTTGAGGGAGGTATTGATGGCGGAATGTGGCGAAGTGTGTGAAGATAGGGTGAGATACATAACGCGTCGAGTAGGATCGGTTCAACGCGATCAAGACTGCCAAGACTGTCAGTATACATAAAGAAATAAACAGGATCGCGTATCTGGAATTAAGTAGAACACGTATGCTGTACCCTGTTGCACGCAGAATGCAACCATAAACAAGATAAATAATTCAAAAGCAGTACCTGCTTGCTGTCCCTTCCACAGAGTTCCATTGGACCCGATCTCCGATTCAACGGAACGGACCGACCGGATCCATTTTCCGTGTGATCCAGTTGCAATTATGTGGGGAAAATTATTGAAGTGCAGACGCAACGGCTTCACTTGCGAAGAATATGTGGCTGGTAATATTTTCCAAGTTGGTGCGATTAGCAGGGTATCTAGATGTTTGTTTGGTATAAATTGGTGAGGGAGGGTGAGGGGAAAAAAGAAGAAAGAAGAGATTTAGCCATAGGAGCCAAATCAAGGCCGGTCGGGAAAAAAAAGAAATGCCTCCACGCGGGATTGAACCACGGACCTCTTGATAACCGTAAAGGATACAAGTCAAGCGCTCTACCACTGAGCTATAAAGGCGATTCTTATCAATTCGAAGCGGAGTAAATATCTATGTAGGAGGGGTAGACTGGTACCTGTTAACCGACTGGTCGGTCTTCCATGGACATATTTATGATTCGTGTTACCTTGGCTTTTACGATAAATCACAAGTTAATTATTAGAATATATCAAAGAAAAGTCTACATCTAATACTGTGCTGTCCTTATGCTAGTCCCGGTGCCTAGGCGTCCGAGGGCTTAGTCTCACTACTTCCTGGTATGTCGTCCGCCTCGTCGGAGGATCGCAATGTCATGCTTTAAATATAGATGAGTGAACCATCAGCTATGATGGATGTCAGCCGACCATGATAAGCACCGAATAGCTGAAAGGCTTGACACATTCCTCAAGATGGCCCAAACCAACACACAGTAGTTAGGTGATGCGTCGGCTACGGAGCTACTAATAGCCCGGGTATGCCGCACTCAATGGCGTCAATTCGTCTGTGCTGATACCTGCTAGGCTTAAAGCAGTGACTGACAAGTAAACTGGACTTAAGACATCATATCATCTTATCCAGCCTGCACCCAGGGTCCAGGGACAGCACAAGACAGCCTCTTACCCGTCAGCTTACTGGGGTCCCCGGCTGGCTGCCTTGCATATAAGTCAGGTCATATGAGGAGCCCCGACATATGACTTAGCATAAAATAAGCTTTGAATCAAGCTCATTGTAATAGTGCAAAATATTCATGGCGTCAATAAAAGGAATCACACTGGCTTTTCGAAAGTTATACCCCTCGTTCTTTCTCACCTGTCTAGAAATATATATCCGCCTGTCACCACTGCAAGGAAGTTAGTACCTTGGGTACACAGCATACTAGAGTATACGCAGTCTCGCTTAGATCGACTATTTGTTATTTTAAATTTCATTATTCTTATTTTTATTTAGATACATCACGTATCCCTAACGTTGGAATACTGCCGTGTACCCAGAGCCTTTTATACTATCACTCTTATTGGCCGCAAATACGCATGGGAGGCCTGATGTCTCAGAGCCGTGGCGGAGCCCTACCAACGATTTGCCGCGACCCTATTCATAGTGGCTGACTGAGGTGCCTAAAAAAAGCAAGTAGTACAACATGAAGTGCCCTGTCTAGTTCCCATGCAATAGTTGTTCTATTTGTAGTGCCAGCGACTGTAAATATATATAGACCCCTTCTCCCGACCGATGTCAAGTTTCATCATTACTTACAAACCTCTTTCGAATCCACAACACATTTTGATTTTTCTTCCGATAATTACATTAACTACACATAAACCATGAAATCCATCCTCTCCCTCGTCCTCTACACAGCTACTGCCCTAGCCCAGGGCATCTACATCGAGTCCCCCGCCGCCGGCACGGAGCTGAAAGCCGGAGAAACAATAACTGTGCAGATCGGCCGTCCGGTACGTCCATCCCACTCTCCCACCTTTGCATTCTTTCCCATCTACCCCACGACTACACCATACTTACCCCCTCACTCATGCTTTCTTTGTTGTAATAGGGCTTTCCGGAAAACATCGCCGAAATCGGCATCGCCATTGGCATTGAATCCTGCTCCGGGTCCTCGGGATGCACCGCCCCCGACTCGGCTATCGGAAATCTCCTATACAGCGGCCCCTATGATCCGCAGTCCAACGGACCTCCTTACCCGTATGAGAACTTCACTCTCACGGTGCCGGATGTGACGGGGCCGGCGCAGATTGGGGTTGTCAGGCCGTATTTGGTGGGGGTGAGTTCAATTCCTGTTAATTGATTGGGAAGGATTGATGGTGGTTTACTAATGTATGTAGCTTTCGTATGAGTTTGTGGTGGGGACTGCGGTGACGAATGTTACGATTGTGTAAGGGTGGAGGGGAGGGGTGGGTTTGTGGTAGACGATAGATGCTTGGGGTGGTGGTAGGGGAAAGGAAATACAATGATGTCTGTTTTCTAAAACATTGTAGTACTGTCCCGCGTTGTTCTATCATAGAAGAATGAAGCCCTGTGCGGCACTTGGACCTGCCGCAGAAGTGTATATATTTTGATCGAAAGTGAATAATGAAATGGAAGAAAGAAAAAGACCAGGAGATCAAGACAGAACAGAGAGAAAAAAGGAAACATAACCACAAGTGAAGATAAGCTGGTTCTGCAGGAGTTGAAGGATATTCTTTCTCCTGTGGTTCTGTCAGCATATCATACATCTCTCAATGCATCTGGATCAAACCAAACGAAGTAAATTCGGCCGGATTGAGCTCCGATTATAAGAGCATTTCCCCGAGTTGCCCATGCATCGTCAAACACGTTGTTTCGGTATTCCGGAGGCAACCAAATACTCTTCTTATTATTAAGAATAACCCAGTCGTCCTCAAAAGAGATCTTGCACTTGGCGGACATGTCTTGTTTTGTAGGATTGGTGCGAAGTATACTTCCAATGCGAGGATCGTAGATGCCACTAGTCTGTTCAGGGTGTCCTGTTTGTGTATTCCATATCGAAATGTGTTTTGCCCGAGATCGGTAGCCAGCACTTGGTTTTCCGCAAAGAAATAGATCAGACATAGCATTTTACTACCATGGTCGAATTTCCATTTCTGTTGCCCGTTCTCGGTATCCCATACTCTGACTGTCTGATCGGTTGAACTAGAGGCGAGTAGCTTGCTGCTTGGAGAGAAAGCAGCTGCTGTCACTTCCTCGTGGTGGCCTTTGAGGGTTCGCATCAGTTTCCCATTCTCTGCAGCCCATAATTTGACTGTGGAATCCAAAGAGTAGGTTGCCACCAACCGACCATCCGGTGAAAGTATCACACCTTCTATTGGCTCTGAGTGATAGTCCAGGCTTGGCTCCTCCTTCCCCGGGGTCACTTTCCATAGCTTGACTGTCTTATCATGTGACCCAGATGCCACCAACTGGCCGTTAGGCGAGAAGGTAACAGTTGTAGCATAGTCAGCATGACCCTTTAGTGTTTGTTCTAGCGTTCCACTTTTTGTACTCCACAGTTGAACAGAGTTTTGCAATGGACCTGCAGAGATGAGATTGCTATCCGGGGAAAAGACGGTCAAATCAAGCACATGTTCGTCATGAATTGTGTGCTTGATAATCCACGTCGCAGTATCCCACAGTGTGATAGTCCTATCATCTGAGGTACAGGCCAACATCCGATTGTCTAGGGAAAATGCCACATTCGTGATCTTGCCCAAGTGAGCGAGCTCGTGCACTATAGTATCGGTCTCTATATTCACCAGAGCTACTATATTAGGAGCATGGGCGCGTATTGTGGCTGCTACCAATACCCGACCATTCAGAGAAAATGTCGTGCGTGCGAGCGATGATGTTGGGCCCGAAGGTCGCCATTCCCACCTAAGTCTCCACGTCCCCTTCTCCCACACCTTCACCACGCCATCGAATGATGCAGACCCCAATAGCTGGTTATTCAGAGAGAACATCAGATGAGCGATGTCTCCAGATTGCCCGAGTCTTCCTGTTTCACGCCATGTGATTGTATCCCATAGCCTGATGGTACCATCACTTGACCCAGAAGCTAGTAGCTTGTTGTCTGGTGAAAACGCCACAGCTCTAACCCAACCTGGATGATCAAGTATCTTTTGTAGATTCCCGTGAATGTGTCCCATAATTTGACCGTTTTATCTGAAGAGCCAGATGCGACCAGCTGTCCATCTGTAGAGAATGCAACAGAGCATACCCTATGGGAATGCTCAAGTGTTTGGAGCAGTGCGCCCCATTCCATATCAGCGCCAACTGTTCGCAGGATCCATTTGCAGGCTTTCTTTCCGAACATGCACCTGACGATACTTCTCTCGGGCGAGAATATAAGACAGGAGACATAGAGCTGAAGAGGCGCTGCGGTCGCAATTGGCAGGTTCTGCAAGATAAATCTTTCGGCGTCCATTAGAAATTCCAACAGTACCGGCACGTTCTCAGTCTGGTTGAATATTAGTATAAGTACAGGCTCGCTCATACCCACTGGCTTACTTCTGCATTGGATTTCAATTGACCGACAAGCCTCACAATATCGGGAAACAGCCCCAGCAAACCCATTGCCTCTAGCCAGTGAAGGAAGTGTGTGTTGAAGAACGAAAGGATATCCTCCATGTCTGTGAACGTGCAGCCACTTTGAACCAGATGATAGACCCAGTAGCGACATGCATACCGAACACAATTCAAAGGGTCTGGATTGGGGATTTGCACATCTTCTATCGCAATCCCGTAATGAGACACGCCATATATGTTTTGTTTCAAGTTCTTTCTCAAACCATGGAGGGCTCTTTTATACATTTGGTGATGAAGCGTGGCCGAAGAGACATTGTAGAGTCTTCGATAATGCTTTTGCAGATAATCTTGCGCTGATTGATGGACCAGGTACACGGTATTGTTTCGAATGGTCAGAAAGGAACGACACTCCTGGACGACTGCTTCCGCTGTATCCTCACCTTCTGGAAGTTCTGCGAGAATTTCAATCTCGGACAAGGCCAGGGGATCTTTGGCAATCATAGCAGCCATGAGGACATTCCTGCAGCATGAAGACATAATTTCGGAGTTTAAATTGGCCAATCTATCGAGTAGGTAGCCATAGAGATCTTCCAAATCTTTTGGAATTTTGTCGACAATTTCGGCCCACATGAATTCATGGGCGTTAATGAGCTCTCTGCAGACTAATGACACCCAGATATAAGTATTGCTTGCTTCAGCTTTCAATTTAGCAGCTATTTCCTCGACACGATTCTTCTTACGTGCCTTATGCCTGAGCTGAACCATCTTGATATCGATATACCTGTCGATAGAGTGCGACATGTCATGTCCATCGAGCTTCAGAAGACTGTGTGTGGGCAGAGTGGGGTCCTGCACACTTGCTGGTATTTCTGGCAGTGGCCGGCTGGAGACGAGCCACTTTACATTGAGCAGCTCTTCTGCCGAGGACGCATCATCGATGAATCTAGTCAGTAGTTCTCTGCTTTTCTCCTCGCATTCATCCATGGCATCAATGATAATGATGGCTCGTTTCAAAGATTTATCCTCCAGCATCTTTCTGAGAATGTCACGTAGAGTTGTGAACGCATTTTTATCCGTAAGCAGCCTGCTTGCCGAATGAAAGTATTCCTTCTGAATGTGTGAAATCAGGAGTGGTTGTTCCAGAAGCAACAGCCATATTAGACTGCGTAGAACCGCAACGCCGTTGTTGGCTTGGTCATTCGTGGCTTGACAGAAAAAATATAGAATCAATGGACGTTCTGTATCAACAAGTCCACGAGAGATCAGATCTTTTATGATGCCGATCAAGAGCATCGTCTTTCCAGTTCCTGCCTGACCACTAACCCACAAACGTGCAGGTGTAATATTATCCCACTTGCTGAACTGTCTGTACTCATCCGTCAGAAGAATCCACGTATACAGCTCTTCTATGATGCTCTCATTTCGGGCTTGTATATCTCCGATCTCAGCACGAGGGTCAATCCAGCGGAGAGACTGCAGACAGTTGCGGTATTCGTCTAATTTTTTCTGGTGCTCACTGGCTATAGTTACCTGTCTGATCTGGTCCTTAATGTGTTCCTGGTTATAGAGAGTGAAGTCGTTTTGAAGCACCTTTTCTGCATCTTTGACAGCATTCAGGTTCCCGCTCCACTCATCCAAATCGAGAAAGCCCCGGAGCAGAACGAGAAGTTGACTTTTGTAATAGAAACAGACGCTTTTGATCTGATAGAAGAGCATTGACTCGTAGAGATCAACAATTCCAGTTTCGAGACTGTGATTCATCTCTCCGAGCGATGTATTGTTCTTGATATTCTGGTCACTCAACAGCTTGTCTACGGCTTTTGAATACCAGCTCATTCGGGAAACAACGTACGCCACTCCATCATACAGATCTGCTGCTGCTTTGGCTGGCCTGACCAAAATTTAACAAGTCAACATGGATCCAGAACACGAGTCGAGTTTACTTACATCAATTGTGGAAGAAATCACTGCCCACGGAAGCGCGGTCTGTGGGATGCTTTGTAATGGAATGTCAAGAAATGCCTTTACTTGCGTTAAAACACCGGAAACATCACTCATTGTCTCCATGACATTTTTGTTATCTTCAATCCTTTTCAGGGCCCTTGCGACTATCGCTCGCATTCGTTCTTCTCCTAAATCTAAGCGAGGACCAATACCTTCACCAGCTGCATCAGAGATGGGCGTTTCGAGAAAGACCGCCAACACCAGTTTCTCGTATGCTTGCACATACTTTGCCTTTTTTGGATCTTGCAATATATTATTGTAGGCTTTGTTCCAAAGGGTATTGTGGATGGTGGTCAAACATTCTGCCGAGGTCACATTCTGGATAGAATGATCAAGAACGTGTTCGTTCGCTTGTGACTTTTCTTGTTGCGTGGCCCCGCTAGGAGGTACATGCCAATTCTCTTCCACAACTTTTGCAGTGTCATGATATTTAGATTCCCCTTGAGTCGGGGAAGTCGAACCATTAGTCGTGTGGGGACCTTCGGCCTGAGTGCTTTGCTTTCTCGGCTTTCCTCCTCGAAATGCTTCAAATTTCTGACGAACCCTTGCTCGAAATCCTGTCTTTATTGAAGAATACATCTTATCGTGTTCAAAATTGATGCCATAGTATAAATAATGTGGAAGCGTAGCATTTTTCGAGCTAAAAAGGTGGGCGAGACCGCAATTTCAGGGTTTCCAGCCACGCTATATCGAACCCCTGTCCGTGGATTATACGTGGGTTCATTTCAGTGGCTATTGTGACGCTATTGCGGGATCTTAGGCGCGTACTAGATCCATTTAAACTCCACCGGATGGGCGAATCGGAGGCTTCCATCGGATAAACTGTTCTTAGCGGCCATGTTTCTCCCCGTTATCTGTATATTTCAGCTCGCAGTCAGCCCAAGGGAAAATAAAGGCTTGGTTCTTCTAGAGGTTCTTGTTATATTAGTTTCCTTGATCTTCTTTTACGTTCTGATTTGAATTATAGATTTTGTTGATATCTAAGCAAATTACAAGCAAATTTGAGAGTTCCTTACATATGGTACTCCTTATCGTCATGTTGGCTTTTCTCGCCATTGAAATGAATGTAAATATGTGTATATGATCTGATAAGATAGATATATCTTAAATACACGACATCCTATCTCCAAAGTCTTCAAAATTGCCCCGCACTCTTCCATACTCAACTACATACAAAGAGCAAATAGAGACAGACCGTCATCCAAATCAGCCTACAGAAATTCCCTATCACCTCCTCTTACTAAACACAACCTTCAACTCCCCCAAATTCGCCACAAACGTATCCCTCGTCTCCTCCCTAAACCTCCTCCCATCCTCCCCATCCGCCAACCGCACATCAAATCTCCCAAACAGCATCGCCACCACAACCCTTAACTCAATATAAGCCAGCCCCTTCCCAACACAACTATACGTACCGCCCACAAACGGGAAATATGCCGCTTTATGCATAATCCAATCCGGTTTCTCGTCCGTCCAGCGCTCGGGAACGTACTCCTCCGGGTTTCGATAGTACCGAGGATCGTTCTGGACGGGTAGAATCGGCACACTGACTATTGTATCTCCCGGGATGAAGGTGGAGGTTCCCTTATCATTGGGAATGTGGATGCCTTCTGGTGGTGTTTTGCGCTGGATTCCACCGTGCACCGGGGGCTGGATACGGAGGGCTTCGCTGACGCAGGCATTCAGGTAGGGAAGGGAGGATATGGAGCGGTAGTAGGTGTCTTCGGGGGATTCGGTGGGGGGTGTTGATTCTGTTTGGCGCTTCGATGATGCGGAGTCGAGTTCGGCTTGGAGTTTGCGCTGGATGGATTGGTCGAGGGCCAAGTGGTAGATTATGACGCTCATTGTGACGGAACTGGTGTCTCTGTTTGTAGTTAGTCAGTTAGAGTCAACAACAAATTGAATGAATGGTGGCGATACTCACCCTCCAGCAATAACAAGCAGCTCTCCTTCACTATACAACGCCTTCTTGGATAAATCGCGCATAGACGGAAGCATCCTCGTCATAATATCCTCCCCAGGCACTTCATTTACTTCTTCTTGCTTCCGCTTCTCCTGGATTCGATCTTGGATCCAATTTCCATACTCCCGAATAGCACTACCAGCACCGGGCAGGCTCATCAACAAGCTGATAAGCCACGGCGTATGTACCATGACATGTTGGCCATTTCTCATGTTCTTGACGAAGCTCAGACTAGGGTTCAACTCCCACGTCTCGATATTATTGAAGGAATAGCCCCAGCCTACGACTCCCATGATATCGTAGCTGAGAAGTGACATGGTACTGGGGACAGAAAGCGGTTTGTTGACACGGTGCGCCAAAGCGTCGAGGAACTTTTCCGTCGTGCGGATGACCATTGGTTGGTAAGATTTCAGTGCTGTTGATTCAGTGAGCACGATGTAACACATTCAGGAGGACATGATCACCAACCTCTTCCACTAAACACCTTATCCCAAAGAGCCTTCCTCCGCTGCGAGTGCACGGCCGGATCACGCATATGAAACACGGCATAGTCATGCGTGAAGTCACCCGAACCCTTTAGACGATCATACCACGGGCCACGGGTACATTTGCTTGAAGGTCCATAGATGACATCGATGGCTTCAGCCGACAGGATGCTAAGTTCCTGGGGCCCTGTTCGGACAATATCCCCGTACTGTCTATGTAGGTTCCATACCCGTTCGAAGTTTCGGTTTTTCTCGAGGTTCTCGTATCCGGTTACGAACTTGGAGAGCTTGAGAGAGAATGGTCCCGGAAAATGATGTAGACGATGGAAGAACGCGCGGTAGATTAGCATCGAGGTGAAGAGGGAGACATAGAAGCAGATGTTTAGTATGGACACATTACCGATGCGGAGAAGCCATGCATAGATGCTTGTCCAACTTCCATTGTTGTTAACTGTGGTGAGTAGGGCTAGAATATTCACGAGCAGATTGGCATAAACCCAAGCACGGCCCTCCTTGGCGCCGCGTTCCCCGCGTGACCAGTAGAAAACATGGGCACTGACTCCAGCAGCTGCCAGGAGAGGGCCTTTCTCCTTTATAGTGTCCAAAAGATCAAGGAACAAGGCCATTCTGTCTAGTCTGGGATTCTCTGAAGGCATTGTGGTTACTACTTATATATGCCTATGCTCTTGGCAGGATGTGGGGATCATAAGCGCCAAGAGAAACATACCAATAAAGACCCTTTATTGCAATTTCGGTTCGACTTTCTTCTCGGCATTTGCGAGACAGATCATCAATCCATATTGAATGTTTGTAGGCTATACCCTTTCGGGAGACGGTTGCGACATTGCTGATTGGCTGCTCCGCCTAATCTTCAGTATCCACCATTTGTTTTGAAGTCAATGCACGCAATGCCAGTGGAGTCGGACATTACTTTCCACAACAGATGATTCGTTGTAATATCCTTTAGACGGTTGGAAACATTCATAGGAATTAAAAGCCCTTACTGTCAGGACTTCAACGAGGTCAGTCAGCCGTACTGTGTAGTGCAATTCAGTGCTTGATCATTAAGAACAGACCAGTGGAAACTGAAGCCTAAATATGGCGGATAATGATAGAATGAAAATATCTCATCGCACTTGCTCTACTTTGACTTGGTAAGAAGATTGGTAGAAAACTTTGGAGATATAAAATATCACACATCTCCAGAATTTATATATACGCGTGTTGTATGACGCAGCTTTTATAGGGCTCGGAACAGGATCTCTGGAATATCACGAGGAATGCAAATTATCGTATCTATGAAATGCAGAAAGTAAAGATAAACGAAGCTAGGCCGGTAAGGCCCAAAAGTTGAGGAGTGATAACGTCCCTTATAGTCCTGCATCATCGGCTGCGCTTGGCCCCGCTTTTGATCAGAGTGTGGTGGTCAGATTAAGGTCATACAGACAAGCTTTCTCAGTTAATTTACTTATTACTTGAATAAGACCTGGGTAGATGTTGCCAACAGAGAAACTTGAAAAAGAATAATATCTCGAACAGAACGCAGGTCGCTCGGAGTGAGACATGACTGGGGATGGTACCTCACATTCTTGCACAAAAGCTGGACATAGTAGCGTGATAATGCGCTACTGTTTGTTTGGACTCAGCTTTCACACATTTCTGCGGACTTTTCCAAGATTTGCTAACGACCTCTTCTGTACCTATATTTAAAAAGCTTTATAAGTCATCAAGGTATTATACATCCAAACCTAACGCCGTTCAAACTGACAGAAACACCAAAAACACCACAAGATGCACCCCAATCATCCCATATACATCTCGTTTCCGAGACGCCAATAATACAACAAAAACAAAAGGAAAATAATGAAAAGTGCAAGCCATCACACCGCCTGCCTTACATCAGCACGGTACGCCTGCTTCAAACTCCCCAACGAGAGTTCATCGGCGGACCTTTCCTCCGGCAGCCTCTGTGTCTCCTCATGATCAATCGCCGACCAACCGCGGTCCGCCCGACTGCGCGTCCCCTTCTGCGTCGACATTTTATAAGTTCCAACCGTGGGGTCCATCTTCGAGTTTGCCTGGGTAGCGTTCGACTTGAATATCTTCGAGACCAGCGGGCGCATGGAGGGCATGCAGGCCGTTATCATGGCGACGCATATCTCAACGGAGGTGCAGTCGATGGCGCCTTGCAGGTCCCAGCTGGAGTCGGTGGAGTTGAGGGCTTGAGCTTCGATGCAGCGGAGGATGGAGGCGATACAAGTTCTGTTGTTATATAAGATTAGTGTCATAATTTTGGGGGATGGGAAAGAACGGACCCGAATCCGAGAGCAAAGACAGACGCCAGCATGCGTTTCTTGCGACTGCTCATGTGTAGTTGATGGATAACAGAAAGGGGCATGCTCAGGATGATAAAGTCAGTGACGACGTTTGTCACGCCGCTGAATACCACGACGGCGTAGTAATCAATGCAGGTGGCGGGCACGGAAGGATCCCAGGCGTGAGAGAGAGGAACACATTGTAGCCAGGTGGCGAGCACGCTGCAGAAGTTGTACGCAACCACGACAAAAGCCATGAACCAGGTCATGAGGCGGAACCATCGCTGTGGGAAGATCCGACCGTAGAATGTTAGGATGGAGAGCTTGGTGAAGCAGATGGCGAGACAGTAGAAGCACTCGGCGATGGTTATGGACTGTGCGTCTCTATATTAGCGTTGTATGAGGGTGGGGTGGGTAATAGGATTTAGTTTAGCTCACCAGTGTTAGACCCTTCGCATCGGTTACATAGACAATGTGCTTTCCCATGCCATAGTGGATGGTTATGTAGATTGAGACGCTGAATGCAACGTTGAAGAACTACCAGCCAGAAAAGGTGAGCTTGAGTTCTCCGAACTCGCTGTGTTGCCAAGCCCAATGGACCTTACCAATCCTACTATAATAAAGTAGTCGTCGAGACCTAGCCGCATCGACGTGATAGATCGGGCTATCACTCGCAGGATAACGCCTGCAGCGCTGGCGGCCATTGTGATTGATGCGCAGGCAATGATTCCCGGTGCACGGGTCGCACCCGGATTGGCTTCCATTGCCTCGATTTGAGCTGCTGTTAGACTTGACATTTTGGCAGAGTTCAGTAGTGTTGTCGTCCAGGCCACCGAGAACAATCAAGGAGAATGTACACAACAGAGAGGAATGGGGGAGTGGATGGCAGGATCAGGCCTGGAGAAAAGGCGGAGTATGGACTTGGAATACGAGGATCCTGCGAGGCGGAGTTCCTGCAACAGCCCCCATGAAGAAACAGCCCCCATGGGGCTAAATGATGACTGCAGTTTGAGCATCAGGCCAGACGCTGTCTGATAACAACTAATGTTATAGCGCTAAGCAACTGACCAAGCAATTTATGCAGATGGGGGCCGATGCAATACACCCCATTACCGGTGGGTCTATGTATTACTGTATGTTAGGTACTGTCACACCGGGTATTGGGTATCAGCCTACAAAAGTGCTGCATTTGAGGCTGCATCTGTCAGATCATAACCAAGTATAGGATATATTGGCTGAGGAAATGTCCCTTCATACTGAAGATCAGGTTGATCAACCTGGGGGCGAGAGTATGTAAAGAAGCCTGCTTGCCCCTCTCAACACAGTCCATCCACTGTCGCCCACACTATCGTCATCACGCCCTCAGCCATGTCCATTGCCAACACCAAAGCCGCAGCGCTATTGACGCTGCTTGCGTTGACACTCGGTTACCACCTTCGCACATGGCCCGTTGTGGACCTTATCCTTGAAACTCTCTTTGCCGTGATTATCTACCGCTTGACCTTGCATCCACTGGCCAGCTACCCAGGACCCTGGCTGGCCGCCGCCACAGACTGGTACAACATCTACTACTGCTTCACGGGCGATCGACACCTAGACTTCTACCGACTGCACGAGAAATACGGATCAGCCGTGCGATATGGCCCCAATCGCGTGTCATTCCGCTCGGCAACCGCCCTGGCCGACATCTACGGCAGCCAAGCCAACACGCAAAAGTCAGCCGTCTACAGCGCCTTTACCCACTTCTTCACCGTTCCCGCCAGCCTAACCACCATCGATCGAAAAGCCCATGCCTTCAAGCGGCGCGTCACCAGCCGAGCCCTAAACCCACGTGCCGTGCAGGATCTCGAAGAGCTGATCCTGCAGAACGTGCGCGCCCTGTGCACCGCCCTGACGATCCCAGCGGATCCCTACCCATTGAAGAACAATGAGGATCCAACTACCGAGAAGGATCCCTCCTCCACCTGGGGCCGGCCCCACGATCTCACTACAACAATCAAATGCCTCCTCAGCGACATCATGGGCGATGTGACCTTCTCCCGCCACTGGAACATGCAATCCAGCCCACGTAACCGCCACATTCTATCCCTAATGGCCCAAGGCACCCGCGGCATAAACCTAGCAGGCCACATGCCCACCCTACTCAAACTCAACCTGGACCGTCTCTGCTTCCCCACTTTGACCCGCGGTGTGCAGCAATTCTTCCACCTTTCCGAAGAACAGTCCTCTTGGCGCGCCGCTCAGCCCCCCGATACCTTGCCGCACCGGGACCTCTTCGCCTCGCTCCTAGACGCCCGCGACCCACACTCGGGCCAGGGCTATACTCCACGCGATTTGATTGCCGAAGCGGGCTTTTTGATCATTGCCGGTACTGATACTACGGCAACAACTATCACTGCCACTTTGTTCTATCTGCTGCATAATAGGGAGGCGTATGTCCGCGCGCAGACCGAGGTTCGTGCTGCTTTTGAGGATGTCGAAGACATCCGGATTGGACCTGTTCTGGCGGGGTGTGGGTTTCTGTATGCTTGTGTAAATGAGGCGCTGAGGCTGAACCCCCCTGTTAGCTCGGTTCTGCCGCGCCAGGTGCTGGAAGGGGGTTTGATGGTTGGGGTAGTGGATGATAATGATGCTGGTGGTGCTGCTGATCGAAAGTACTTTGTGCCGGAGGGAACGGATGTCGGGGTGCCGATGTATGCCTTGCAGAGGGATGGTCGGTACTGGGTTGATCCTCATGCGTTCAGGCCGGAACGCTGGCTGGGGGTGGATGCTGAGGATGGAGGTGTCACGGCGTACGCGCCGTTCGGCGCGGGACGGACAAGTTGCGTGGGTAAGTACCTCGCATATCAGGAGATGGGGATTATTCTGGCTAGGTTGTTGTGGTTGTTTGATATGCGGTTGGATTCCGTTCATAAGGAGGATGGGAACAAGAAGAAAGGGGATGCAGCATGGGGAAGGAACCGGAGAGATGAGTTCCAGACACGCGATGTGTTCACCAGTTCGCATGACGGACCGGTTGTACAATTCCGCAGAAGAATTTAGTTTCACGCCACCTTATTCTGATAATGATATACACAATTCTCTATTTGTCACATATTATAGTAGCTCATATTCTAATAAATTTCGAACTCCCTCCAACCTATCACTAAATCACGCCTCCGAATGAATCTACTCTAACATCCCCTCAACCAACACCTCCCTCCACCTTTCAAACACCCCCTCAACAAAACTTCTCTCATAAAACGCCTCATTCCAATGCACGGATAGCACCAACTCCCCGTTGAACGTCCACACCTGCGTCAACAACAACC